TGGAACTACATCGAGCCCATTTTTATTGTCTGCGACAATAAAACATCACCTGGAAACAATGAAGAACGAGTATCTAGACACCGCGGCGCTGCTGCAAGATTCCATTTACGTGGATGGCATTCTTACCGGTGCATCCAGCGAAGAAGAAGCCACTAAGATCTTCAAGGAATCGACAGCAATTTTCGAGCAAGCGTCAATGAAGCTGCACAAGTGGGTGTCTAACTTGAAAACGCTCTTAAATGAGGTCGACTCGAATCACCACGAGGAACACCCATTGGGGCAGGTTGCGGGAGTTTTCAAGGTGCTGGGACTAACGTGGAACCCTGCCACAGACCTCTTAACATTTGCACCAGACGATGCTCTGAACTGCGTCGAGAAGCACTCAGTCACAAAAAGGTTTGTCCTACAGACTACAGCCAGACTCTACGATCCCCTAGGATTCATCGCGCCATTTGTCGTGCGAGCAAAGATCCTATTTCAACAAATCTGGAAACAGATGATGGAGTGGGACGACCTCCTGCCTCTTCACCTGCGCAGTGAATGGCACCGATGGTGTGCAAATCTTCCATTGCTATGTGACGTTGTGGTGCCACCTTTCTACAGACGGGGAATAGAGGGAGTGACGATCAGGACAAACCTGCACATCTTTGCCGATGCAAGTCCTCAGGCGTATGGAGCCGTAGCATACGTAACTATGACGAATGATTCCGGCACCACGACATCCACAATCCTGCTTTGCAAGTCTCGAGTGGCACCTCTAAAAGAACTTTCTGTAGCGAGGCTAGAACTTTTGGCATGTCTTTTGGCAACCAGACTAAGTGCCTACATTAAGACCAAGCTGCAGGAGAACATCCACGAAGCGCACTTGTGGACCGATTCGAAGATAGCTCTTCATTGGATCCTCGGAGAAGCAAACGACTGGAAACAGTTTGTAAGAAATAGAGTCGTTGAAATCCAGCGAAACTCTGAACCTTGCTCTTGGAAACACTGCCCAGGCAAAGAGAACCCGGCTGACCTGGTGACCAGAGGAATCACAGCCAGGGAGCTGCTCGACAGTGAAGTATGGTGGAAAGGACCTAGCTGGTTAACAGTACGAGAGCGGTGGCCAGAGAAGTCTGAACCGCAAGAATTCATAATAGAAGAAACAGAGAAGAAAAAGGTTGCAGCGTTACCCACGGCAACAGCAGACCCAACGATGGTTCCAGAAATTGAGCGGTTTAGCACAGCTATGCGACTTCGGCGAACAATGGCGTGGGTACTCCGCTTTATAATGAAGTCTAAAAGAATTAGCGCTCAAACTGGACCATTAACCGCGGAAGAATTGAACAGAGCCGAAAAATATATAATAAAGAATGTACAACGTAGAGCCTTCGAACAGGAGATAAAGAATCTTCAAGACGGCAAAAAACTACCGCCAGATTCTCCTATAAGAGACATTTCTCTTTGTTTGGATAACGATGAAATACTTCGGGTAGAAGGAAGACTACAGTTCTCTGAAAAATCCTTTGAAGAAAGGCATCCCGTTGTGCTGCCAAAAGACGACCACTTTTCGAAGTTGTTGATAACGGAAGCACATCGTAGACTATTGCGCGCGGGAGTGCGTGACACACTCGTGCAATTGCGGGAGCGATACTGGATCGTGAGAGCTCGTCAAATGATAAAAAAAGAAATCAAGAAATGCATCGCATGTCAACGGCTGAACGCCAGACCAATGTCAGAATTGACGGCGCCTTTGCCCGCAGATCGTGTCACAGAAGCGGAAGCCTTTGAGGTCGTGGGTGTTGACTTTGCGGGACCCATATGGGTCACAGCGAGGAAAACAAAGAGGAAGGCATATCTCACGTTGTTCACGTGTGCAGTTACTAGGGCAGTACACTTGGAAATGGTACCGGACATGACGGCAGAAACATTCCTGAGTGCGCTCCGACGATTTGTATCAAGAAGAGGCGTGCCAAGAGTGATCTACTCTGATAATGCGTTGGCATTTAAGAGAAGCAAGAAAGACTTAAGCGAGCTTTGGAATGTTCTACGAGATCAAGAAGTGCGGAATTACTTCGCAAAAAGCAGGATACAATGGAAGTTCATTGCAGAACGTGCCCCGTGGTGGGGCGGATTTTATGAGCGTTTGATCAGGTCAGTCAAGAACTCTATGAAGAAAGCCATCGGACGAAGAGTCCTGACAGAAGAAGAGTTAGTGACTCTCCTCACTGAGGTGGAAGCAATCATCAATTCTCGACCATTGACCTACGCGTACAGTGAAGCACAAGAGCCTCAGCCACTGTCACCGCCGCACTTCCCGACAGGGAAAAGACCTACGTCGTTACCATAACCGTTCGACTCCGACTTGCAAAACGGTGACGCAGAATCGCTGCGAAGGCTCTGGAAATTCAGAGAAGACTTCCTGAAAGAGTTCTGGCAACGATGGTCAAAGGAGTACCTAACGGAACTCCGATCACTGTACAAGACAAGGAGGTCAAACCGACATCTCAAAGTTGGGGACCTGGTTATTCTTCACGAAAGCCAGCAACCACGCCAGCTCTGGAAGATGGGAGTTGTGAAAACATTGTTTTCCGGAAGAGACGGAAGAGTACGAGTCTGCGAGATCCGACTTCCCGCTGGTGCGGTTGTAAAACGACCAATACAACTTGTGTACGGGCTAGAAAGCGGTTAAAAATGAACTTTGTTCCCTTTTTGAGGGTGGATGAAGAAACCCATCAGCGGAGCGGAAAAGAAGACGAGGAGGTTCGGGGACTGGGCCCGAGCGCGAGCTACAATTTCTATCGGGGATTTTCGTTCGGAACTGGGAAGTGTGAGTAACGCAGCTACCGGTGATTAAAGTAGTATTTTTTCTTGTAGTCATCAACGCTTGTGACACCTTCTCATCTGGCCCATCGTACAGTCCTGATCCCGGGTTTCGGCACCAAGTGTGAGTAACGCAGCTACCGGTGATTAAAGTAGTGCTTTTTCTTGTAGTCATCAACGCTTCGGCTCAATGGTTTCGACAGTGTTAGAGTACGGCTATTATCATCTTTAAAGAGGCCATGAAACAATATCGGGTTGGAATGTTCATTATTTTGGAGAGGCGAACTGGTCCTAATCGCCCAAGTATACTCGCACGCACCACCACAAATTTAGCAGCTCCTTTGTCGCGGTGAAATTGCGAAGATAAAAGGGGACTATTTCTTGCCTTCGCGAAGCTCGATGACGTAATTGTGGGATCGAAACCACCCGCCCGACAACAGTCGAGCGCGGCTCGTGGATTGGACACGAGAACTGCGTGAGCACTCGACTTCGGCTCGTAATCATCAATGCCTCGGCGGACACTCGGGTAGTGGCTCGTGTCCAACAATGGCGGCGATAAGAATAGCCGAACTCTAACAATGCTTGCAGCTCACCACGCGTTTTCTACTTTGCCGATCACAGCCCGTGGGTATGGTTTACGTTGGCGTCATGGGATAGGCACAAGATCACGTGGCGGCTTGCTCTGCCTCCGAGTGGAGGGGGATGAATGATACTCATATTTCTCAAGTTTTTCGGCGACTGCCATTGCCTAGAAAGAAAAACTAAGGCAATTTTATTCTGGTAATAATGTTATTGAGCGATTCTAACCAGTATTTAGCAAAAGTATAAAAATCGTTTAATGGCTACTTCAAGTGAACACAAGCAATTACCCGAATGTTTGCAGAGGCTGACAGTCATAAAACCGAGCATTCGACTCGGGCTCTTAACGATCTAGTACGTCACGATATCCCGTGATTCGTGGTGCGAAGTCCTGATGTCATGTGACGTCACGGTATTGACAACGCTAATGAATCTGTGATGTTCTAAATTTTAATCGACATGACGCAATGAGTCACGTGACGTGACATCTCCTGCAACGTCAATACATTATCCTGGTTGAGGAACCGCTCATAGACGCTGCTTGCACGAGCGGTACCCCCTTCTGCCCTCCCCACCCCCCCCCCCCCCCCTCCGGCCCCTCCTCCTGTCGTTTGACGCGCGCCTGACGGCTGCTATAATAACGGCGTATGTGTCGAAGCACAGCGACTAGATGGCGTTTCACCGTACTCTATGAAACACATAGTTAAAAAAATATATATTTAGATGGCGTTTCAAACGACGGGTGGCGGACTGAAGTGAATGGGGGGAGATACCCCCCCCCCCCCCCCCCCGCGGGAGTTCCACAACTGAGGTAATCTGGTAACGCTGAATGCTTCACATCCTGTTTTGACACCGTGAGGTCACGTAAATACGTGAAACGGGACTACTCGTCATTAATTATAGTGGCAATGCAAAAGCGCCCCGAAAACCCACAGTTTCTCAGACGTTGCACTTGTGCATATGACGATTTGATCAACACATAAAAATTCAGCTGCCAATTTTTAATTCTCAAATGTTTAGTCTGTGATATTATAAAAAAAAATAGTTACCGTGAACCGTTTTGAATCGGTTAGCGGTATAATTTTTTCCGGTTTAGTTCGGGTTCCGTTCCAAGATGGCGGTGAAGATTTCGGTTCGGTTGAGTTCCGATTTACCTAAAAATAATGTTTCTGTTCCGGTTTTCGGTTCGGTTCGGTTCCGGTTCGACACTCTGATTGCATGTTTATAAACCCTCTTAAAACGACGGTGTTTTTCCTTCAAGCTTTAAAAATCCTGCAACATAGATGGAACTGTCAACACCTAGGAGCGTGTATTTCTATAAAAATATACATCAGGGTGAAATACTTACGATATATAAATTATTACATAGTTGAGGAACGACCAAGAAGGATGTTGGAGGAAGAAGAGGAAAAGGAGGACTAGACCTCCGAAGCTCGGAGGAACAACTCGGTTCTATTTCAACCATCTCGACTCGTCTATAAATAGCGCACTTTTTAATTGTGACTATATTACGGGTCTTTCAGCTCGGTTTTTGTCTTTTTCACCCGCTACATTGCAGTTTTGTTGGGAAATCTACCAGGACAGGGCGCGATTGTGAAAGTTATCCAATGCCCGCTCACCTTGGGCATGAGGCTGACGTCCATGTCAGCGACACGGCGCCGCTCGTTTCTCACGTCGTCGTCCTCCTTCTCGGGGAGGTCGGAGTTGGGCGTGATGTCGATGATGCGCCTCGTGATCCAGAAGGCGTCCGCGACCCGACCCCCGGCCTTGGCGATGTCGGCGATGCGCAGCAGGAAGTAGTGCAACGCGATGTGTAGCAGACACTGCACGAAGCGGTGAACAAGCGCAATTTAGGGAAGGCAACCACTTCACTTCCACCCCTAGGGCCCAAGTTCAAACGCCGCAACTACTTTACTGCACGACTTGAAAAGCGTTAACCCAAGAGCTGACCTTCGTTACCGATCGGGCGGCATTTGCCCACATCGCATGGTGCCAATAAGCATAACTCTTCCCGCTCGGATACTGTGCTTGCGACTCAAGAAAAAAGCTACGGAGCTACATGGGCTCCAGTTTAGACAAACGCCTGTATTTAGACGCGCAAAAAAAAAAAAAAAAGCGAGACAAATTGATCGCAAAACGCCCTGCAATTGTGTTGCTACGTGAACCGTTCTTCGTTTAGCGCTACTAACCTCCAGGCATTCCTTCTCGAACTAAGCCTCCAGTTGTCCCATTGACTTTCCCCGTCGGGACGGCCTGCGTCCACAGAGCGTGGGAAATGACGGGCTGGAGCCTGTCAGGTGTCAATTTTTTCCGCTAAATTTAGCGGTCAAACAAAATAATCTGTAGGTCACGTGACGTAAATTTTCCCGCTAAATATAGCGGGGAAACTTAATTCGAGTATAGGTCACGTGTCATCATCCTAACGTCCATTTTCCCGCTAAATCTAGTGGGTAAACTGAATTTGTGTACAGGTCATGTGAAACGTAGTCATGTCACCTAATGTTTCCAACTAAATTTAGCGGGAAAAGTGAATTCGGGTTGAGGCCACGTGACGTTAATCTGCCGCCAAATTTAGATGGTAAATTGAATTTCTGTGTAGGTCACGTGGTGTCAATTTACTCGCTAAATCTAGCGGCAAAACTGAATTTGAGTGTAGGTCGCGTGATTTCATGTCATGTGACGTCAATATTTCCGCTAGCGGGGAAACTGAATTTGTGTATAGGTCGCGTGACATGAAGTCGTAAGACATCATTTTTCTCGCCAATTTGTTTTCGGTGGTGGAGGGGAGGGGTTGAACTGAAGTGGGGTTGAGGTCACGTAACGTCAGTTTTCCCGCTAAATCTAGCGGGGAAACTGAGGTTGTGGGGCGCGACGCCCCACGACCTCACTTTCCCCGCTAGATTTTCCCACTAGTTTCCCCACTGCTTCACAAAATCCGGAGCAACCAGCCAAATAACGTGTCAGTCTAAAAAAAACTATCGCACATTACATTTGAAATTAAAGCCATCAATGTCTTCAGCTGCAGATAATCATATTTTTGTCTTGAGACGTTCGTCAGCACAAGGTAAGTTTCAGAAAGAATTAGGAATCAAAATGCATTCGCATGCGCTTCTTATTGGCTATGCTCTTAGGAGAGGCGGCCGTCATAAGCTCTGCAAATCTTCTGGAAAGAAAATGCGGCTCGCGTTTATGAATAGGTGAACCTACTCGCATATTTGATCAAACACGTCGCATTATGCTCGAGTATGACTTTGGAGAAACCTCAGATGGACAGCAGACGTCTCAATAAGAGACATATATTTAGGGAAATGCTTCTTGGTTAAACTTCGGCTTCACCTCTACAGTTCGCAAGAAGTTTTATTTTTAGAGCGCAGCTCTTAGGCGCCCATTCGCGGCTTGAGCAGCGTCGCCGTCGCCGGCGGCGTCGGCGTAACCGCGAGTAACCCTCGTAACCCTCGTGAGGGTTACGAGGGTTACAAGGGTTACTCTCACGAGGGTTACCCTCGTAACCCTCACGAGGGTTACGAGGGTTAGTTACCCTCAAAAGGGTTATCCTCACAAGGGTCACGAGAGTTATGAGAGTTACCTTCACGAGGGTTATGAGAGTTACCCTCACGAGGGTCACGAGAGTTACCCTCACGAGGGTCACGCGAGTTACCCTCACGAGGGTTACTAGGGTTACCCTCAAGAGAGTCACGATGGTTACCCAGGTCACGTGACCCCCCCTCCCAAGGTCACGTGACCCCCGTTGACGTCATCGCCACTGATGACGTCATCAGTGACGTCACGGATAACGTCACTGGCATCCGCATCGTCATCGTCATCATCACTGATGACGTCATTCGTGACGTCGCCGGCATCCGCATCGTCATCGTCATCATCACTGATGACGTCATCAGTGACGTCATCAGTGACGTTACTGATGACGTCATCAGCATTGTCACGTGACACCCCAAGGTCACGTGACCCCCCCCCCCCCCCGCCACCCGAGGTCACTTGACCCACCCCCCAGTGCCCTTCCCTCCTCCTCCTCAACAGCTGCGCTCTAATTCTGCCTTACAGGGAGTTGTAAACGGCTTTCATTTTTTTAATATTATTAATAGCTTCACCATCTTTCGTGTTACGTCTCACTATTCATGCGATATGAGCTTCAATCCGGCAATAATGAATAACGATGGAAAGGACCGAGGGTCATACTGAGGTGGGAAATAACCAGCATTTGACTTCGTGCATCCAGCTTTCAAAAAATAACCGATTTTTTTTTAATGGTCTTTTCTAAGCATAATAACTCGATTGGTTCCCTAAGCACGGCATCACGTGCTGCGTGCGCCTGATTTTAACTTTGGTACGCTTGCAACTCCACGTGCTGCACACACGACCAACATTCCCTTAGTAGCAAAAAGTCCTCTGTTTACATCACGGCCGGCAACAGCCCGTGGTTATTACTCTTCTTGCGTTTGAAATACTTCTTACAGGTCAATAGTTTTCGTATTACAGTTGCCGAGGCAAAACTGTTCCACAAGAACTATCCGACGCAATTTAAGAACCCCTTCAGGACCCCTTTGACTTATGCAGCGGCCGTCCAGGACGGGGCCCCAATCCTCGTTCTGGCCGCTGGATCAGATTGCTCAAACAAGGCGACTGTCACCAACCATTAAACAAATGCGGAGTGCAAGTTCGTCTCCTTCTTGCACTGCGGTTGCGATGATGTCAAAATCCCCGAGCTCTTATTGGCTGATTCAAAAATATAGCGGGTAGACCTCGAGGCATCCAGCATTGAGTTCTACCCTCTATTCTTCCAATCAAAACCAATCAGAACTCGGCGTCGTTCTGACGTCATTCCAACCCCCGCGCAAGAAGCAGACGACTTGCTCTCCAAATTGTTTCAGACGTGTCCAACAGATACGTGCAAAACGGTAGAACACGCACATGCGATAACGACTACTGCACACTTACCGCGATGTATGTGATGAGGATGTTGCTCTCCCACTCGAAGTACATCCAGCGGTTCGTCGGATATCCGTTGGACGCTTTCGTGTCGATGATGACCGACGTCTTGTTGCATGCAACAAGAAGTGAGATAAGTCAAACTCGACACATCCCTCACATTTAACCGAAGGCTTACTTTAAGCAATTATAGGAATATTTACGAAAGGCACACCCTAGTCACTGACGGCTTAAGAAACGCGGGGCGTCGCTCATCATGATCGCGCTTTCTGATTGGTTCTTTGGCTTTATCAATTTATGCCGCAATCCCATTTGCTGCGGAGCAATAATAGGATGGTAGGGACACGCCACGCTCTGCATTCGCGGTCAGTTACAGGGTGTCCCAAACAGACCATCCGCTGCAAAACAAGTCGGAAAATTCGGCGCCTACACATAGAAGGTTAGAACTTTCGCTCAATGTGCACTGAGCAGGTCAGTTTTACTGCGTGAATATTAAAAACTCAATTTTCTTTCGGCAAAAAGATGAGAACTAAAACTTTGTTAAGGTCAAGGGTGAGCGCGTTCACAGACGACCGAACTTACGACGCTATTTACGTGTGGCACCATCTTCCGATGGGCACAGCGAGCAGACGACGCACTCCGTTGTCGGTGTTAGCTTTCTTTTGGCTCAGTAGAGTCTGATTAGTTTATCAGAAACGAGACAAATACCAAATATGCAAGTAGTGAATCTGAACGAAGAGAGGCGTGAATGCAACCTTGATTATATAGTAGAGGCCTCCGTTTGGGATGTAGAAGGGAACCAGTAAACAGAGTGCGGTGTGAAGGGCAGTGGCGCTACGAGACGAGCCCATCATGTCCAGGATGGTGACAGGCACGGCCGGGAACATGGAGCACTAGAAGAAAAACGGAACCGCAATGGGTGTGGCTCATCTTGTGCGAAACGAGAAAAACAACTCTAAACTCGAACTCGGTTCGCAGTCGCAGTAGCAAATTACTTTAGTGCGAGCTTGACACGTGGGAAAGCAAATACAGGATATGTCATCAACGACCGAATATGTATTCGAACAAACCTAAACTATTGAAGAAAAAAACATTTTTCTTCAGAATCGACTCGAGGCGACCGAATGCCTTCTTGCAAAGTCATACTATGTAACACCGCGTCAAGCCGCGTGTTATACTGACTAGCTCCATATCACGTTCAGAATAGTCGGTCTTAAAAAGGGCATGGAAGTGGATTGCGTTTTTTACCTACGCAGAGTAGGCGCCCTAAACATCTAAAATTACGATCATCCGTGACTTTTTCTTTGCTAAAAAGCGACCAGACATCGCGACGCGCTTCTTTTCTGAGATGTGTCCCAGAAAAGGGGCTCCAGCCCCTTTTCCTGGGACAGCCTGGCTATAATCCAGAAAAAGGCACTATCGCATTTACTCGAGTAATGCCGGACTGCTTATGAAGAAAACCCGAGGGTTCGCTTTTCCGCGGAGCACGCGGATTGCCAATCACCGCGATCGGCAGCATGATTCCAGCGGTTTACATGACAGAGATAACGTCTTGGCGCGGTGATACTATCTGTCGAGATTGCATTTGATTGAAGAATCGTCTTCTCGATCTGGTTATTTGCTATGTTATTTATGCGACACACGATGATTGGCTGTATATGTGTTCTGCGGAAAAGTAGACGCAAGGGCATTGTTCATAAATAGTGCGGCTATTACTCGAGCAAATACGATACAGCCAAATAACGCGAGATTTCAATTTGGAGTTTTCTATGATGGTTAGGGTGCTGAAGTTGAGTTTGCACCATAAACAAAACGATCTCAGAAGCCGCTTTAGCGCCCCTTCCGACAGAGTCGCCAGATCTGTTACGGCATATCACAAATGATTTCCCTCCATCAATCGCCCGAGGATTGCGCATCTCTTCAGTGATTCGTCGCGTATTTCTGTTTTCCTAATGGTTCTCCGGTAACGTTTTCGTTTGCAGCCCTCAGTCGGCAGAATCGGCGTTTCAACAAACGACACGTTCAACTCTGACTCCATTGTGCAAACAAACTCATAGCGACCGGCTGTGCTCGAATGAAAACAGTCAGTCCACCACTAACATCGGACACTGTTTTCCTTTATCGAAATTTCACTACGCTGTACGAATAGAAACAGCGGGAGAGGAGGAGAGCGCGCGGGACGCCAGAGTGCTGTCCCCGTGCGCTTTTATCTCACGATCTCCCTCTGTCCGTATCTGTATCGAACTATAGAGGGCGCTTTATCGAGATTGTTGTCCACACCGCCCGGTGTTTACTAACACAGGAAAACAAAGAAATTGAACATCGCCTAGCACGGTCTGGCCACGAGCGCTTCGCTTTGACCAGTGCTTCGGATGCACGAGGGGCAGCCTTCGAATCGTCATCTTCGATTTGTCTGATTTACAACAAAAAGAAAATTCGGTTTGTTGCCCACACGACTGAGGCATGCTGCTAGAGGCGTGACTGTCCGATCCCCTCCCCAAGAGGGTCATCGCTTGGTGATGCGCGCTTTCCGACGCCACATGTTCGTTTCCGTCCGCAATGCTCGAAATCACCAAGACCGACAGATTGCCAGGGCCCTGGGTCCCCATACCAGCAAGCTGAGGAAGGGCAGCACTCCCTTGGCGGTCTCGTGCTTGTTGAAGAGGTGGGTGAGGACGTAGCAGACGAGCAGAGACGCCGGCACGTAGAGCAGGAACAGGATTACGATGGCCAGGACGGCCACGGGCTCGGTGAGGAAGGGCACGCCCATGACCACCAGGGCCACCACCGTGAGTATCATGGACAGCAGGTAGAGGATGGCGTGACTCAGCAGAACCGTGAACCAGTAGCCCGAGAAGAGCAGCCCGGACACGCGCAACTGGTTCTTCACCTTGTTCTAAGAGATCGAAGAGAACCGACAAACTATTTCACGTAGACCATTGTAACGTTTACGGCCAGATGCTGTTTTTTGAGGCGGTTTCGTGAATATTCCGGTCGGTTTTTGAGCTACCGATTCCGATCCAAGCTCCGTCGGTGTCATGTATCGATTATAAAAGAGTAAAGGCGCAGGAGAGCTGGCGTAGATAGATAATTTCTTTAAAACAGCTGAGACTAGATAAAGAAACTTGAACCAACCAAAGTAGAAGAAAGAACGTCATCCTTTACCTGTTTTTTCTAGTTTGGTTGCTTCAGGTTTCTCCACCTACCTAGTCTCAGATTAATCTTCTCTTAGAAGCCAGTGCTATTCGCTGCATTCTACGTCACAATAAATAAATGTACGAAGTCGAGTTTTGAGTTTTAGGCACTGTAATTCACAACAAAGGAGCGGTTAAAACCTCCACAAAGCTTACAAATTAAAGACACACATTTGCGATGAGGTACGATAAGCAGTTAAACTTCCTTTTTATGTCAGAGTAAAAAAAAATTGTTGTTAGCCCCTGGGATGTTATATATTAACTGAAACAATGGACTTGGCAAACTATTCTGACTCTGCTCCTGTTGTGTGTTGCGCCAAATCAGGTTCACTAACGGTATCGATCGATAAGACATACATGGCGAGCAAGTGAGTACCCTCCTTCTGCTGCGGTAAAATGATGTCATGGAGACGAGCCCTAAAAAAGTGAGCAGGCAGACCTTTTGTTCTTTAAAGATTTCAGACACGGTTGCTACAATGCATTTTGAAGGTTGTCGTGTAATGGCAACACACGATATCATTGGAGGGCGGACGTGTTATGTTGTCAGATGCAGCAATCGTGGCGGTTAGTCGCAGACCTTTCGGTAAAAACTATGAGCGAACGCAAGTGTCACTGTCCTCGCGGCATCACAACTCCTGGTTACTGAAGTACACGTGGACTGTCAAGATGTGACAATTCTGCAGCAGAACAGGCGTCTGCCACAAACAGAATCTCTGCTGTGCCTCCACCAGGATCGCGGCAGGTCACAACATGACACAAGTGAGACATCGTCGGGAAGAAACTGAGGGACCACAAACGAGAACGCTTTAAGCAGACCAGGCGGAGTCGCGCTCCAGGCACTATAGGGAGGTTTCACGTGAAGTACATTCGAATCAAAATCACGTCGGACGACATATTGATGAACCTCCGTCCTATGTTTCAGTATGCGTTGAGGCAGTGTTTCACACCTTGCTCGAGTTCTGTTTTGTCATGATCGACGGCGCCTGCTAGAGCAGTAGGGGACATGAAACAGCGTCGGCTAGTACTCGAGTTTCCTAGATACCAGTATCTATGTCAATCCATCGGCGACCAAAGAGTTCCAGCAGATGCTGCCGAGGCGACTTTGAAATGGGCATTTAAAAAAATCGAAGTGTGGATTTATGCGGCCCAAATACGTTCCCATCCGGGCCTACTGAGTTCTATCGTTCAGGGAGCGACTTCCCATGCTCGTGAATTTTAACGAGAGCAAAAGTGACGCCAATAACTACGCAAAAAAACACTCGAGAAAGTGGCGGACTCCGTTCGTCAACATAACGGAAGGCGGCTTAGCGGAAGTGAGAGAGCATTTGTGAAACCACTCTACACAATCTTAACCTTGTTCCCCAGAGGCTCCAGTTAAATTAAAATTCCGCATATCTTTTCTGGGACAAGTAAAATGTTTATGTGAAGTGGAGATTGTAACATGAACTGCAGTGCCCTTCGCTTCATTTTTTTTCTTTATCTCAAACACATAGGTCCTCCTCGGGTTGTCGTTCCACTTAAATGCCATTCAACTTACCCGGCTGTACTTACTCGCCAATTTTCTCCATTTAAAACGTCCAGAAAGTGCGTTCTTACATTTATTCCTTTGTATAAATAATTATCTGAAACTCTGTTCTGTATACGTAAACTAGGAAATATGAGGCCCACATTTTCTTCTAGTTCATCGAAACTTGTTTCGCAAAACAGTTCCAGATATAACCGGATCTAGGTGGAACGGTATTAACCCTTTGATGCACGGTGCATTTTATAATAACATTTCAACTTACAACTTTGCGCGTAACTTTTTAGAGCGCAGCTCTTAGGGGCCCGTTCCCGGCTTGAGCGGCGTCGGCGTCGCCGTTGGCGTCGCCGTCGGCGTAACCAAGGTCATCCCAAGGTCACGTGGCCCCCCAAGGTCACCCCAAGGTCACGTGACCCCCCTGAAGTCACGTGACCCCCGAGGTCACGTGACCCCCCCCCGGTCACGTGACACCACCAGGTCACGTGACCACCCCCAGGGTCACGTGACCTGGGGGTGTCACGTGACTTCGGGGGCATCCGCATCGTCATCGTCATCATCACAGATGACGTCATCAGTGACGTCACTGATGACGTCACCGACATCCGCATCGTCATCATCGCTGATGACGTCATCGGAGTCCTCATCGTCATCGTCACTGATGACGTCATCAGTGACGTCACTGATGACGTCATCAGTGACGTCACTGATGACATCATCGGCATCGTCACGTGACCCCCCCCCCAGGTCACTTCACCCCCCCAGTACCCTTCCCTCCTCCTCAAGAGCTGCGCTCCAATTCGGTGTTACAGGGAGTTGTAAACGGCTTTCACTTTTTAGAGCGCAGCTCTTAGGGGCCCGTTCCCGGCTTGAGCGGCGTCGGCGTCGCCGTCGGCGAAACCAAGGTCACCCCAAGGTCACGCGACCCCCAAGGTCACGTGGCCCCCAAGGTCACCCCAAGGTCACGTGACCACAGGTCACGTGACCCCTCCCCTAGGGTCACGTGACCCCCAAGGTCACGTGACACCCAAAGTCACGTGACCCCCCGAAGTCACGTGACCACCCCACAGGGTCACGTGACCTCCCCGATGACGTAATCGATGACGTCACCGGCATCCACATCGTCATCGTCATCATCACTGATGACGTCATGAGTGACGTCACTGATGACCTCACCGGCATCCGCATCGTCATCGTCATCACTGATGACGTCATCAGTTACGTCACTGATGACGTCACCGGCATCCGCATCGTCATCGTCATCATCACGGATTACGTCATCGAAGTCCGCATCGTCATCGTCACTGATGACGTCATTAGTGACGTAACTGATGACCTCACCGGCATCCGCATCGTCATCGTCATCATCACTGATGACGTCATCAGTGACGTCACTGATGACGTCACCGGCATCCGCATCGTCATCGTCATCATCACGGATGACGTCATCAGTGACGTCACTGATGACATCATCGGCATCGTCACGTGACCCCCCAAGGTCACGTGACCCCCCTCCCCACGTCGCTTCACCCCCCAGTACCCTTCCGTCCTCCTCCTCAAGAGCTGCGCTCTAATTCGGTGTTACAGGGAGTGGTAAACGGCTTTCACTCTTTTTTTAAATCGCGAAAATAAACTTTAAACATTTTTCAGTCAATTGGTGACCTTTTTATGTTTAAATATGGTGGTACAATTGCGAAACCACTGTACCGCACCGGATAAAGGCTAGTTGCAAAAAAATTACATTTAAGAACTTACTTTTTTGTAGCAAAATAATTTACAAATGTCATATAATAACGTGATGTGGCAGCACAAGTATATTTGAAGATTTAAAACAGAGCGGACTGTTGTCGATCGTGCGGAGCGAAATTTTCGTAGAAGTTTTCTGAGCTCTCCGATATTGAAGGTTCCGCACCACCTGCTTCTGTATATGTTTCTCATTACTGCTTGATTTCCCAGGCTCCTTGTCTCGGGGTATTTTTTCAACTACGATGTCAGAGGTTTTCTGTAGCAAAGGAAGACTTTGATTGCATTTTCATCATATAGGCACAACTATCAAAGCTATGACAGCCACACAGTTTTGGTACAAAAAACTAGGTTTACCTTATGGGCAAGAAATACAGGTGAGTCACCCGGTGTTTATAGGTACTTTTTAAAATGATTTCGAATTTTGAAATTTATAGGCGCGATACAGTGGTTTCAATAATGCCCCACCCCAATTTTTCGCCAATCGACAGCTTATGAATGAAGATGGCCATAAATAAAAGTGCTTTACTTCCTCTTCGGAGCTTTTAGACAAATGTGCACATACATTTTTCTTTTTTATTTAGGAAACATGTTTTATAACGGCAAAGCGCTTATCATAACATGTTGAAAGCGCATGCTCAAAAGCCTACTTCCAGCGAACCAGAGTGTATCATTGGGGCAAAAACTTAAATATTCTGATTTTCGTCCCAGAGAGGGCGTTATCAATCTGCAAAGTGCGCTGGTTTCAGATTGATACCACAGTCCGTTGCACTCCTAGACCACATTGTTTTGGTGGTAACATTTTGACACAACCATACACCAAAGGGCTAAGAGTGTAGTTTTCCGAAGAGAAAGGCAGAAACTCGAAGAGACTGGCCTGCCTGTCCTCGACCACTTCGACGGTGATGAGCGACGGCATGTAGGCGATCACCACACTCATCATCATCGTCCAGGTGTAGAGTTGCGGGTCGAAAACCGTATCGACTCCCCTCTGGGGCCACGGGTAGGACGACAGCTGCACGCGGCGACGGCTCAGCGCGTCCGCCGACTTCTCGGAGACCGCGAACAGCGTGTTGAAGGTGAGCGACTGCAGGATGGGCAGCGTGTGCACGTACGAGTCGTTGATGAGCATCACCAGCGGGTTCAGGTACTGTGCACCGCCCACGCGGTCCGGAAAAAAAAAAAAGAAAACAACACAGATGGTAAGTTGAATTTTCGTTGTGCTTCCTGGCATTATGATCACAATCGCGAGCCTGTAACTTTTTTTTTTTTTGACAGACTGTCATGAAAGGAGATAGCTGGAGCAACTAAGTACGCTGCGGTTAAGACCCAGTTCAGTAGCGCCACTCATGTTGCTGCGTAGAGCAGCGTTGCACCAGTTAACCACCGCAAGAAATCGGTCGCGGACAATCAATTACTCTTGTAATAGATTGTCCATACTACGGTTATCTAAATACCTACAACTTGCCTTCATTTGTGTAGGATCTACGGTCATCCTAAGTTACCTTCCCATACGATGTCCCTAGCAGGCTGCTACATGGTCAGTACACCTAGGACGCCGATAGAATGTGCGCGGCCAATTGCCTACACGGGGCTTCTATAGGACGAATGTTAGGAAGGCTATGCTCCTTCTTCACGCATGTTACCATAAAACGTAGCTAGAACTTAAATAGTTTCTTTTATTTTAAGGAATAACTGACTTTTCTCTTTTGCTGACCTGCCTAATAAGATCGTTTGGTCTCCTGCCTGTTAAGCCATCTTGCACCAGAGCAAAACATTGTCGCCTGAGACGTCTGACAACACCTATACTGTAAACGACCCGATTCAAGTGGCACGTAAATGAGCGTCACGTGATGAAGACAGGCAAATTACAGACGTAAAACAAGCAGACAATGAGAAGAAAAATGGCGCTACTTTTTGCTTTCCAGTAAATCTAAAGACAACCAAATCCGCAAATGAGTTCTATCTCGCGGAGTTCTAGACTGATCCTGATGATTCTGCCAACGTTCGCAAGGTCATCAAATGAGTCTTAGCAGTAATTAAACGCGGCTTATGTTTCCGACCTTAGTTTCCAACATACGTTTCACCTTATGAAGAGAAAACGTTGAACTTCGGAACACCGTTCACATTTTTTTTAGGTATAGTCATATAGCGCAAGTCACAAACATGTTTGGTTCGCGGAAATTGGCAAAATATGAGTAAAAGAATCAGTTTTTGTTTTTTATGACTGACACCGCTGCTGACTTATATTTTCTAATGAGTAATAGGCCCTTTTCAAAAGTCCATCAAGCAACATTGGCGGTTGCCATTTCTTAAGAACGAAGCGTCTGATTGTTTTTGAGTTTCGCCGAACGCTTACGTAGTACTCGTTTTTGACACCAGCTGAGCCGACTTCACACCGAACATTGACGGTGCCCTCGTTTCCAATAGATGCTCAGAGCATAGAGTTATTATAATGTACGCTAGAGGTTCAAGTAGCGCTAGTGTCTATGCGACTTCCGGGAGGCAAATTGAAGCAGACAGCAACCAGTCTACTTTTGTGGTGCTCCCGTGCATTCCTTTGGGGAAACGCGCGTGCCTTTTGTCTCTTCAACGGACATTAACTCAAATAACTGTCGTTATTTGGGTCGTACCGAATAGTATGTACCTTTATGAAGATTGTAAAGGTGTAATTGTTTAAGTAACTACACGTTTCTTTACCACTGGACGATGTCAAACTGCGCTATATTTCAGGTCCAAACCTCTGTTCCATGGCTGGTATGTAAAAACTAGCAACGAGTCTAAGCAAAATAAAAATCGAAAGGAACGTGGAGTGTGTTCAAGATTCGCTAGCATTCCAGTGGTACTTATTTATTGTTAGTATGCCCGTCCTGACACTATATGAAAATGACTCCATCCTGCATCTTTACGAGCGGGACAAAAATACATTCGAAACGTAAAGAATGAAGTGCGTGGGCCATGAAAGGTGTGCCTTTTTATTATTTCCTATGTCAGGTAGCTCTTATCGGGCACCTGTTTTCTGGCGTCTCCCTATTTTCAAAGATTTCGTGCCTGCGAGTGATGTTTTGGACGCAGAACAAGCAACTTCGCACATATTCATGAGCAGAAAGTATAAAGCAGAACTTATGTTTTTTTTTTTTTTTTTATTTTGACCGTCTGCATGCACAAGGAGTTACTTATCCAGTTTTACTGCGTAGTTCTTGCCGCCTCTCTTGGTTTTCCACATGTCGTTCGTTCGTTTGGCACATATAGACGCTTTGCAGCAGCTGTGCATGGGCGCCGCCATAACCGACCTTCAGTTTTTGTTTCCATTTATTCTGACCGATTCTCTCCATCATTACCACAGCAGGACAGGCTATTGTCATCTTAGATCCAACTGTGTCCTTCTCCCCAGAATTGGCCTTTCCGGAGGCTCGGCAAAGTCCGCTTCAGTGGCTTGGTTTCTCGGTATGAGAGGAGAAGGTCAGTAATGGCGGCTGTGATCTGGCGCGTGTGCAAAGCGTCTATATTCTCCATGCTGGAAAGCGCCGGCGCTGTGTTCGCGCTAACAGTGTCCCACTGTGCACATAAATGCATGTACGAAGCCGTTTTAGCATCATTTTTATGCCACAAATTTAAAGTAAAAATGCCATAACTGAATAATTGTTTCTTCTCCGAGACTGAGCAATGTTCAATGGACGTACGAAATATTCGTGATATTTGCTCTTCTAATTGAGAGCAAGGATAAAATGCACAAAATGTAAGGGCGCAAACGAGCTGGTGTACGTTGCACATGGTTGAAAAAACACCGAGACTGCGGGTAAACGACACAACACTAAAAAGTCTCTTTTTAGTGTTGTGTCGTTTATCCGCAGTCTCGGGGTTTTTTCAACCATATAAAATGCACTCGCTTTTTTCCATAGAAATACATTACCGGAAGTCAATTTCCGACTGGTTTCTGTCTGCTTCGATTTGCCACAGCACACTAGCGCCAGATGAACCTTTAGCGTGCATTATAATAACTCTACGGCTCAGAGTATGTGACCAAAACAGTGGCGGACGGGCAATGGTGCGCAATTGTGTAAAGGTCTATTATGTAGATGAAACTAACCCCCCGTTCGCTCCCAATCTTTCAGAGAATCTAGAGGCATTGATTGCTGTCGGACCAAGCGTGTCCAAGAAATATCCAGACGCTGCGAGATTGTCTACCTTGTTTTCGGCCCCAAGGTTGTCTGGAATCTGCGCGTAGTAACTTCCAGGAGGAATATTTTCGAGAAGAGGGCTGCCATTGTTCCACCGTACGGTCATGTTGAGCGTTTCCATGGCCTTCTCATAGATTTCGATTAGACTATCTGGAAAGAAGAAGAATACCCATCAGAGCTAATCAATCGATTTGTATGGCTTGTAGTGTCTCCGTATGCCGCAAGCTTTGCTACGCAAGATAAGCTTGCATCGCTTCTGGCTTTGCCTTGGAGGAGGAGGGATACCATATTGTTTTAAGATAACTACCGTATTTACTCGCAGAATGAACGCACTTTTTTTTCCGAAAAATCGATGCAAAGTTAGGGGGGGCGTTCATTACGCGAAGTAAAATTTTTGCGTGGGTTATTTACTGGCATAATGAACGGACCTTTTATCCTGAAAAATCGAAGTAACTTCTTATCTCTCTGCGCGCGGCGCCCTACCCCATAACAGAACTAAGCCGTGCAAAAAAAAAAAAAATCCTCTTTTTTTTTCCTTAGTTTCTTGGGGTTTTTTTTTTTTTTGTTGCCGCCTTTGCAAGCTGTTTTGTTTGCTTAGGCGTTGCTTAGGCAAGGGCTCTCCGCTTATCTTTCTTATCTCCTTGCGCGCGGCGCGCGACGCACGACCCCCCCCCCCCCCCCGTAACCAAACTGGGCCATGCAAAGAAAAGAAGAAAAAAAAGCTCCTCTTTTTCTTGTTTTTTTTCTCAGTTCCGTGGGTTGTTTTTCTTTTTGTTTCTTTTTGCCGCCTTTCGCAAGCTGTTTCGTTTGCTTAGAGGGCTTCTCCGCTCCTCTTTGTTACCTCCTTGCGCGCGGCGCACGAGCCCCCATAACCAAACTGCGTTGTGAAAAAAAAAAAAAAAAGCTCGTTTATTTTTGTTTTCTTTTAGTTCCGTGGATTTATTTTCTTTCTTTTTGCCGCCTTTCGCAAGCTGTTTCGTTCGCTTAGAGCGCTTCTCCGCTTCTCTTTCTTACCTCCTTGCGCGGGGCGGCGCGCGAACCCAAAATCCAGACTGCGCTGTTCAAAAAAAAAAAAAAAAAAAAGCGCATCTCGCATGTTTTTTTTCTTGCTTCCGTTGGATCTTTGCGAATTTTTTTAACGTCTTTTGCAAGGCGTTTTGTTCGACCACGCTGCCCATGCATTCGCGACCTCGCTGACCTCGCTGCACCAGGATAGAAAAGTGCGTTCATTTCGCGCGCGTGGGAGGAGGGGGTCAAAATTTTGACCTCCGAGTTGGGGGTGCGTTTATTACGCGAGTGAAAAAAAAAAAATCGAAATTTCGACAGCCGACTTGGGAGGTGCGTTCATTACGCGAGTGCGTTCATTGTGCGAGTAAATACGGTATAACACAGCAATTTGTTTTTCAATTAAAGCTTCCTCCTTGAAGATGAGAAAAATATATTAAATCCTTACTATGTCTTTGTTATTTAAATTACTAAAAATGCATCTCTAAAAAGCAGTGTTGGGAAGTACTTCAAGTTTGTTGTACTCGATGTACTACTTCCAGTAAATTTAGAAAACTTGTACTTTACTGGAAGAAGTACATTCTCTAAGCCCGTACTTGTACTTAAATCATTTTTTGTACATTCCGAGGAAAGTACGACTGCTGACTTTAAACGACCTTTTCCAAGTTTGGTCATGCTACATTTGTATCACAATGATGCTTTCTCAGCAATTATAAATGCCTTATAAGTTGATTGTAGTAAATAGTTTGTCGGCAAGAGTAAAAGAACTACATTGTGGCCACTTGACTTTATTCAATATTCAGCGCCATTTCAGAAAATAACTTACGCAACCCGATTACGCCAGGGATAATGCATACTAGATTTTAAAAGAAGAACACTGTATAGGGGAATGAAAGGTCATCATGAAATATTATGATAGAAAGTGATTGTAATTTACTTGGAATGTACATTGTATTCATAGTGCATTACTTGAAGTATATTGCGCCCTTTCTACTTACTATTTACTTGAAGTGCATAACCAATCATTTACTTTGTACTTTACTTCAAGTACTTTTATAAGTACTTTACCAAACATTGCTAAAAAGTGATTCGTCTAAGACGTAAACGTTGTAGCCCACGTTACGTGTTGAAGCCCCAAATCAGCAACAGAAAAACTTCAGCGGTAGAATAGCAACAGTGAGAAGAAGTTTAGTCTGCACGGCACCAACATTATCTTAAGGAGAGAGGTCACTCAACAACTCAGTATTTACGAGGTCTAATCAAAAATTCCGAGACTGATTTTCTAGCGTAAAAAGAACAGGCAGCACAGTGAGGCGCGCGCAGCAGCCGACGGCAGGGACCCTCCTACGCCACTATGCCAAAGGGCGTCGCTCTGTGAAGATTCGGAATTGCGCTAGACGAGTTTGTTTGACCACGTGCGCGAGCATAATGCTGATATGTCCATAGACTGCAAACTAAAGTGAGAATTACGCCAAACTTGGCAAATTTAAAACAGAGACCATTTAAATGATTTAGAATGCCTATGTCAAAACGAAGTGAGGTGTGCGGGGCGTTTGGAGTGGCACTCGCGCACCAAAACTGGCAAAACGTCACTGAAGTCAAGGAGAGGTCGGATAAAGTTGCCCTACCGCGACCTTATCCGAGGCGCGGGTGCAACTTCAAACACGTCGCAAAATTCACTGCTTTTTGACCCAAGCCTGCTGAATCATTTCAAAGGTTTGTTTTGTATTTGCCAAGTTTGATTCAGAATTGATGTTCGCCCTCGCTCTGGCTTGCAGTCTATGGTAAATCGCCATTGTGCCCATGCACGTGGTGAGAAAAACTCGCGTAACGCAGCTCCAAATGTTCACACAGCGACGCGCTTGGGTACAACGACACACGAAGGTTCCTTCCTTCGACTGCTACGGCGGATAATTTTGCAGCCCCCTCTTTTTACGCTACAAAATCAGTCTCGGAACTTTTTGATCATACATGGTACATATTCCTTAGGCCCAAAGTAGCTCATGTACACCTCGCGAGACAAATAGCGCGAATGTGATGTCGTAGTTTCTTCGCATTTCTTCGCGACAGGCATCAAAATGTACCTTGGGTTATCTCTCCGAATAAGCATTTTACTCCATCGCAGTAGCTATTAAAAAAGCTTTTTACATCTCAAAAAAAGAAAAAAACGACGATTGCTTGTTTGCGTTAATATTGTGCCGCCGTGTACTATCTTTCTTCACTAGGCAGCGTTGTCGGAGGTTTTGATTAAAGCGTTCTGAAAGGTTACTACCTTCCGAGCTCGGTACCCGATAGGCTTCGATAATGTTGCCGTCCGGATAGAATTCTGGGGTGAGCAGGCCAAGCTTGTTGACGGGAACTTCGCTCTTGGAGAGAAAGGAGTAGCTCAGTACCACCATGATGACGGGCAGTACCACCAAGGGCACCACGTGCATCGGGGCGCGGAGGAAGAGCAGCATCCGAACCTGCACTCGTACACCCCGAAATGGGAAATAAAAAGTTTACAAATAGAAAACTCTCTGTTGTGTTACGATTTATCAGGCAACCTTAGTGCCTCGAGGATCTTCTCAAATGTGTAACTGACGTACAGAAGGTGACAGAACACGAGGCTAAAATTCTTCACAGCGTTTCTCCTGCGGGCAACAAAAAATGCCTTATTCGCTACACATGATTCTAACCGAAGACGACGGACGACAAAGGGGACAAGGGACAAACACACACGTTCGCTATTCACTCAAGAACTTTTTTTAGCTAAACGGTGCGCTGCAAATCTAATCAAATTGCTTAAAGTAAAACACGTGTTAGTGTACTTTTGTTTCTTTATTTCGTCAATAACTATATCACTTTATTTTAGATCACTTTATTGTTCCATTTCAATTTTACAGCAACCAGTGTGCATCTAATTTGTCCTTCAGACTTCCTAGAGCTTCGCACTCTTTGTTCAGGATTAAGGATTAAAGTTAGACTGTTTTCTTTTAAATAAATAACGAGTTATATTAACACTTTCATATTTTGACATTTTGAGATCGGCATACTGAACTCAGTTCATTTGTGTCTTTACAAGACATGACATAAAAACATCCGTGAAATTTGCATTCGAAATTTAGATATCGCCAACGTACATATAGTACCAGTGTAATTGTTAGCTTTTGGCGTCTGGTCAGGACATCATGTAAACCTGTACGTGTTGTGCGCGTAAACACTTAAAAAAAAATTTTTTTTTGGGAGATTTGTTAATTAGGGTAGATCAGCTCCACTACCAATTTCAATCTGGATGAGCATTATGCAGCCGTGTGGTCACGCGGTTAATGATTCCAGGCTAGCAGTCTCACGGCAATGACCAATTAATTGGGGTTGTGTGGATATTTATACAGCGTGTAGTTGGTTAGCCATTTCAAAGTTGCGACGAGTCACTCGCTATAGAGGAGCAATGTAGCCAGTGCAGTACAACCGCTAGCCTGGGGTCTTTAACATGCACCACGCAGTAGTGATACACGACCGCACGGGCCGATACGATGCTCATCCAGATCGAAACGGGCAGGGGTGGGGATTGAACCCAGGGTTCCTGGGTTCTACACCGCGAGCTTTCGCTCCACGTGCTCCGAGCTGGTGTGCGCTAGCAAACTCGGCCACCGATCCTTCTACGGCATTGGCCAAGCTGGCTATCTACAACGGAGACACGATCTAGCCTCCCACGGTCTACACATGTATGCACAATATTTTACGTTATTGGTCTTCACTCGTATACTAATTTTCGACAATAGGATCGTTCGATTAACTTGCTCCTCTTGCACCGCCGCAAAAAAGTGTAGGGCAGTGTACTTCCGGCCTGTGCATTGAGACACAACCGGAAGTAGACCGCCCTACCCTTTACTGCGCTGGTGCAGGAGGTTCAGGTAAATCGAACGAGCCTAATGTGTACAATATACGTTTCCTTACAAAGTTCAGCGATTGTCGACACTCTATGCTCGAGAAAATAATTTCCTTCTAAATACTTTGAAAAGAACATCGATCAGGAAGACCGATCCATAGAAGTCACTATTGTCACGCTATGCGGAAAGAACGTCGTCTGCTTCTTGCGCAGGAGTGGCGCTGACGTCAGAACGACGCCGAGCTCTGATTGGCTCTGATTGAACGGACAGTGGGTAGACCTCAATGCTAGATGCCTCGAGGTCTACCCACTATTTTTTTTTTTTAATCAACCAATGAGAGGTTGGCGTTCTGACATCATCGCAACTCCTGTGAAAGAAGCAGACAACGTTCTTTCTGCATTGTCACTGACAGCTTACGAGACAAAGGGCGTGGCAAGACCGAACTTATTATCGCTCATCAGCCAATAGGATGGCAGCGTTAGCCGATAGGAAGACCAAAGAACGAATTACAAAGCAAGATGCGCGAACCCACTATGTCGCGCCCTGCGTTTTTTTACGTTCTTAGTGACTACCGAACCCAAACTTCTGACAATGAGGAAAAAGCGACTCGCTGCGAGTGCCCCCAAATACGTGCCTTGAAGAAGGCGACGAATGACTGGAACGCATTGGGAACCACAGTCGTGATTGGCATGGCTTCGCCGGTGGTCTTAAGGAGTTCCATCTCTTCGATCTCTTTCTGGTAATGTTGCTGCGAGCCAAAGAATAATAAAGGCAACTTCATTATTCGGCCGCCAACGGTCACGTTGCACAGCTCAGTCAGCATTTTATGCTGTAAACATTCGAATGGTCAACATGGTTGCTAATAAAAATGTCTTTAAACTCATGCTCTTGTGTGCATAAGTATAAGTACATACCGAAGCCGTTGATAGATATAAAAAAGGACAGTATTTATATCGAGGTCTTAGTGAAGCTGGCCTCCTGGCGCTAGGTTGTTCAAGCATCCAATCTTCAGTCTGCCCCACTCTTCAGTGCTCTACCTACATTGAGGTTTATATAACAATTTATACCCGAAACCCATACACGTTTATGGGTTGTAATGTTACTGAAACAAGAGCTTCGGATCTTTCTAGACAAAAATCTCCTTTGCATAATCAGTGGTGAAAGCATCATCGCCATTACGCTTAACCTCTAAAACATTAGCGTATTTTGTCCAACCTGCGATATATTTCCTGGACCTCTGGGAATTGCGTTATTTTCTAACCTCGCTTACAAAAACCTTTAGAATAAAAACAATTTGTATGCAACTACTAGAACATACCTGAATCTTTATATATGCCTTCAAATAACAAAACACCTAGGTCTTGCACCTGCAAATTAAATTTCAGGGTAATGGACTACCTACCAGAATGTGCTGTAATCATTTGCGTGACGTCAACTCTACCAAATGCAAAACCAAGTGGATGATCGTTTTTCCATTTCACAAAAACTCCGTCAAAATAAGAGATCTAATTTCGAAATCTACGGCTAAGAAAATATAATTATATATGGAAGTAAGACAGAGTGGCTTTCTTTATATCAGGGCCGTCACCCTCAGTCCCTTTTCAAAGCGCCTTTCTCATAAAAAAAAAAAATAAAAAAAGTTAAGCAAAACTTTGCGTCTTACGCACGAGATGCAATGCTTTACAAATAGCCGCATATTTTGTACAAGCGTAGTATTCCAACTTTTCTAAAGTTATAAACCATAAAAAAGCGCAAAAACAATTTCTAGCAGTGTTTTTCTTTGTTCTTTTTTTACAGTTTAGTAGTAATATTGAATAAGAAGTTAGTGCACAAACGTCGTGCTCTAAATTGAACATAATTAAGGAAAAAAAAACATGTCTAGGATAAAATAAGACAGAACAAACACGAGCTCGTGTTTGTCCTGTTCTTTATTTAAGCTGTGGCGGCGGAAGCGCGCACGGACGAAACTTGCTTTTTGAGCCGATACATTGAAGGTGACGTTGCATGAGTGCTGGGGCAGAAGGGCATTTAGCTGGTCTCCACTTATATATTGAGTTTGAGTCGTAATTAGGGGTAATTTCTGTAGTTGCGACCGAAAAAGGAGCTGGAGTAATTTTCCGAAAAACAAGACGGCCGCCACCTTAATTGCTCTGAGTGGGAAATTTATTTCGCTCGTCGCTGTAAACCTACGACTGCTGGAACGATAATATTTGGAGGCGAGTGAGAGGTTCACTAAGTTTGTGCACGAAGAGAGCCAAGTTTCTTTAAGACAGCAGGTGTGACAGTTATGTTTCTAACGAATGAAGAAATAAAGCTGTACGGGATATCCAATATTGAACCCAAAATGTTGTGTTATAGCGGGCTGTGCAAAGTGCAGATTTGGGCGCACAGGTGCTTGGACTTGACAGTAACATGACACAGCACTTATTATACAAAACAAAGGTGGCATAGGGAAACCAGGTGAAAATTTGGTTTGGGCGGCGTAACTCAATGGGAACCGGTTTTGATTATGAAAAGGCTGTCAAGAGAATACCACTGGTTGGGAGAGGTGGAGACTTTAGAGGTAGGAAGGGACTAGTGGACTGTACTTCCCATTGAAACAACTTTACGAAAGGTGGTTCCAAAGCCGAGAAAACAAAGTTGTCGTCCAACACACGGTTTGGTCGCCAAGGGCTTTTGCGGTCAGCTGTTGTGTAATAACCTGTTGTGCGAGGTGCTGATTTTCGGCGCACAGGTACTTTGACATGACCGTCACTTGGCACAACACTTATTATAACAAAAAGAGTTGACATAGCGAAACCAGGTGGAAATTTAGTTTGGGCGGCGTAACTAAATGGTAACTGGCTTTGACCGTCAAAGGCTGTCAGATAATACCACTCATCGTGGGAGGTGCACATTTTACAGGTAGGAAGGGACCAGTGGACGGTACTTCCAGTTCGAACCACTTTGCGATAGGTGGCTCTAAAGCCGAGAAAAAAAAATGTTGTCTACAGAACTCGGAGTGTCAGTGTTTCCACATCCAAAAGGAGGCTGGTCAAGAAAGAAAGCACACCACATAAACTTCCATACTCAAACGTCGATTCTCCTGTGATTCCGAGTTTCATTGTTGTTTTCTTTAGATTTATATTTGTCACTTTTTTTACCTTTCGAATCTTTCTTCGTGAAGTACAGATTGCGTGCCATACTTGTCCGGAAATATCATCGACACGTACGATGGGGACGAAACTTCTTTGGAGGGCATTCCTCCAACGAAATTGGCACTGCATACCTGCGAGTGTGGGTTCGTCCTATCGGCGCTGACACATGTAGGCGTTACTGGTACGAAAACAAACGCAGAGCGCAAAGCGGCAGTGTAGAATATGTCAGCCGTGCCGACACAGTGGCAGACATGATCGGGAGACCAAATTTCTCACGTCGTACGGCACGGGTTCATCGTTGTCGCTGTCCCACAAAACATCGGCGAGGTGAAAAACTGTGAAACTTTGTCTCCACGAGATACGCCGCATAACTATTGAAGCACTTAAAATGACGCAGCACAGGCAGCACTTCATGCTGTGAACCCAGCGCAACCGCACCACTCCGACTTCAATGCGTACCAACGTACGCGGCGTGGTTTCGGTTTCGTTTTCTCTGGGGTTCTCGCTGCCTACCTTCGGTACCGGCCGCGCGGCGGCGCGCCAGTCGCGTCGCACGGAGTGTATAGTCCCGGGTTTGTAATATAGTCCGTTACAACTCTAGAAGGTAGGGCGAGGGAAAGGAATGCCGGGGAGGAAGAAGCACAGGGAACGCTAAAGAGAGGAGGAGGTTTCCCCCTCTCCTCTCCAGCGTTCTGTCTGCTTGCTCCTCCCCAACCTTCCTTTCCCTCGCCCTACCCCTTGAGCTGTAACTTCCTATATATAGCGCAGTAGTGTTGTTGTTGTTGTTTATCTCTGCGTCGTCACTTACATGAATGTCGCGGAGATGCAGATCCTCCGGCTTCTCCACCTCGCCCATCTTGAGGAAGACCTCCTCAAGCGTGGTCATCGAGATCCCGTAGCTCTTGATGCCCATGGCCTCGTCGCTGACGGCAGATTCGATGGCGCCGAAGAGGTTGGCGAAGTTGTACGTACTGTCCATAGGAAGGATGAAGGCGATCTCGGTGCTCGTCGTCCGATACACGGTAATATTCGGCACGAACTGCTGTATCAGCTGGGTGATGGCGGCCTTGTCCGAGCCATTTTCGATCACCATTCTGGAAAGGCAGCACGGCGATCGTGTGACACAAGCAACGCTTTCAAGAGACAGCTATAGGTTTCGTCAGAAAAAGGGGAAAAAGGGGGGGGGGGGCAACCAGCTTCACATTGTGCAGACTTCCTTAGAACACGTTCCAAGCCACTAAAGACTATATTATAGTAAACAATTCAAAACAGAAAGAAGAAAGAACAATGGAAGACCAAGGAACAACAAATAGAAAGAAAAGAACCCAAACAAAACACGAGTTTAATTACATGACAGCCACTGATTTTCGGGCCCGCTCCTTCGGCTAACTTCCACCAGGATTTCTTGTTTACAAGTTGGTTTTTGTATGCAACTTTTTTATTGGTTTTTACCCTGTTCGTTAATTTTTAATTGTGTTAAGTCTGAAATGCTAACCGTGGAGCAGGCTGGGGTACTTTATTTTTATTCCTTTACGTGCCTTAGCTCAATTACATAGGTTTTGTCAAATTCATGTTGAAGGATATATTCTGAATACGAAAGCACTTCTTGATACCAATAATGCAATGGAGGAGAAGACTGTGTGCAGTGTCCTCCTTTTTCTGTATTCCTCAGTCTCGAGGTTTTTCAAAAATGAATTGTCTCCAGCTCGCTTGTTTTGAGCATTTTAACCGTGTCTGTATTCTTTAATAGTATTACACGAAAGAGGTATGGTCTCAAATGTGTCCCATACATTTCACCGTGCTATACATATTTTTCACGTAAGGTCCCTTCCCCTATTTCAGCCCGCCGGCCGCCATTACAGGGTATTGAGAAGCAGACGTGGACGTCGCCGCCGCTCGTGCGCTGCTCGACTACCACATCGCTGCGGCGTGTGTATGTTACAGCATCCACGTGCATGACTATAACACGAAGTTTTCGTCCGAAATGCAGGCTCACTGAACTGAACATTTTAACTCGAAAGATTCATAAAATACATTATACAAACCGGCAAGGCGCGTTAAGGGCGGAGGTTCGCCGCATTCTTAGCCCAGACGTTGGGTGGGCACCCAGTCGGGGTTCATATCGTCCACGAGAATCGAAGGTTCGCCTTCACGTTCAAGGACGTGTCTGTACTTGAGGCATTAAAAGTCTAAGCATCTGATCTGTACAAACTCGCGCCGCTGCCGGAACACGATCGGCACAAGTGGGTTACCAACACCACAGATATAAGGAAGCTCAGCGACAAATGTAAAAGCAAAGAGACCAGCCGCTGCTGTCCGTAATCTAGGAGGAGGTGTGTCGCTCTCTGCAGCGTCACAGTACCAGACACTGTAAAGCTACCTTCGCCGTTGTGGCAAAGCGCACAGAGTACGATGGTTAGGTATGAGTAATCCATGTATTACGGATGACACATGTATTTCTTACCGGTAATGATGCAACGACCACAAACACGGCCGCTGTCGAGGTTTTTCAAATCCTACCGGCGTAGGCGAGCAAAAGCTCCGGTGTTTTGGGGTCAGAAGTTTTGTGCTCTCAAGCGGTCGGTTTATCACTTTAGGCAAGCAATGCAGTTCTATATTTTAGTAAGGTACGTTGTTGGGCTAGTTGGTTCATCTTAGTCAAACATATAAAATAGCGCAACAGGAACAAGGACAAGAAGTAAACAGGACAGGCGCTAACTTTCAACTAGTTTTATTCTGGAAAATCGAACACATATATACACACGACAGGCAAAGCAGCTCCACGTAAAAGTTGATTAATTTTTCACCCGATCATTCAAAAACTGATATTCATTACAATGAAGAGCAATAGAAGTGTCGCCGACACATGCCGTCCCACTTTTTTTGATAAAGAAAGCTTCCAATAGCTCTCGAGCGACCGTCTCTCGGCTTCTTCCTAGTATCCGCATCTGCTGAAGTCGCGGAACACAGCCACACGTGTTGCAATGTATCGGCAAATGAGAGCCATATTTATTTTTTACTGATAATGCGTGCTCCCGTGCTCGGTCATTGATGCACCGCCCCGTCTGGCCAATGTATACCTTACCACAACTCAGGGGGATTTCGTAGACCACACCCACTGTGCAGTCCACGTAAGGGGTGACGTGTTTTTTGTCACACGGTGCTTTTGCCTCCTCATCAGAGATGCGGGCGCACAACCCAGCCAACTTCTTTGGGGCAGAGAATACAACTGGAACATCGTACTTGGTTGCAACTTTCTTCAGATTGTGGGCAACCTTGTGTATGTACGGAATGACCTCTGGTCTTTTTGTTCTCTGCCTCGTTGGGACCTTTCTTTTCAACCCCTTCATTTTTTGTAAGGCGGTCTACGCCACAGGTTGCCCACAGGAGACCGCCTTACAAAAAATGAAGGGGTTGAAAAGAAAGGTCCCAACGAGGCAGAGAACAAAAAGACCAGAGGTCATTCCGTACATACACAAGGTTGCCCACAATCTGAAGAAAGTTGCAACCAAGTACGATGTTCCAGTTGTATTCTCTGCCCCAAAGAAGTTGGCTGGGTTGTGCGCCCGCATCTCTGATGAGGAGGCAAAAGCACCGTGTGACAAAAAACACGTCACCCCTTACGTGGACTGCACAGTGGGTGTGGTCTACGAAATCCCCCTGAGTTGTGGTAAGGTATACATTGGCCAGACGGGGCGGTGCATCAATGACCGAGCACGGTAGCACGCATTATCAGTAAAAAATAAATATGGCTCTCATTTGCCGATACATTGCAACACGTGTGGCTGTGTTCCGCGACTTCAGCAGATGCGGATACTAGGAAGAAGCCGAGAGACGGTCGCTCGAGAGCTATTGGAAGCTTTCTTTATCAAAAAAAGTGGGACGGCATGTGTCAGCGACACTTCTATTGCTCTTCATTGTAATGAATATCAGTTTTTGAATGATCGGGTGAAAAATTAATCAACTTTTACGTGGAGCTGCTTTGCCTGTCGTGTGTATATATGTGTTCGATTTTCCAGAATAAAACTAGTTGAAAGTTAGCGCCTGTCCTGTTTACTACTTGTCCTTGTTCCTGTTGCGCTATTTTATATGTTTGAGTTCTATATTTGGCACTGCGCTATTCTCCTTTGCGGAGGGCTTGCTTCTGCTGCGGCAACCGAGCATCGCGCTCATCGGCATCGCTGTACCACTTTGATCGCAAGAGCAGATAACACAAAAACACGAAAGAAACGCGCACCGAAAACGATGAAGTTGCAGCGGCCAGCGTCGCCGGCGGCGGCCTGAAACCGAAACTATGTCAGTACCTGGTGATGGCGGCGACATATCGCTTAAGACCCGGCAGTGACGTCCGAGAGAACGGTGTATACATTGCAGCGGATTAAACGCGTCACCGTCGGAAGCGTTTGGGTGACAGAGGGGCGGAAAAGGGGGGGGGGGGGGGGGGGCGTGGTTGGGGGACAGAATACCAAGAGGGTTGAACCCCTTTTTCACCAATTATTTGCTGGAAGTCTCACATTTATTTAAAACAGCAGAACCTCTCAATAACAAGGGCCAACATAATGAAAATGCCATAGTCATGCAAACTTATAATACGCCTATAATCCTGTGTACTCATATCACGTACTGATCTTTGAATTCAAATACTGATGTTGTTAAGATTAAGTAATGCACTAAAGACGAAACTGTTTATCCGAATTTCTTGTATCTAGTCATATCTTTTAGCAGAAACATAATTTTCATCATATGTTGCCAGCCATTTGTGGTACATGATAAAAGTACCAAATTATTAAATTTGCGTATAAGGTGTACAGAGAGCAAGCGGTAGTATAAAAACGAAGCTCACGTCAGATGGTATCCAATTCCAAAGCGATTCTTGAGAAACAGCGACGTGCCCGCACAGCGTAGTTTCCCTTTGCAGATGATGGCTTTCCAGTCTGTCGAGAGGAGCAGCATAGAACCGTAGTCACAGAACAACACGCTCGAACGAGATGTTCGAACCAACCTGCGAGAATATCCGCTTCGTCCATGAAGTGTGTGGTGAGAACGATGACTTTGCCTTCTTTGCGTTTCTGGAGTTGACTCCAAAGATGACGCCTGGAGTAAGGATCCATGCCGCTGCTGGGTTCGTCGAGAAACACTATCTGTCGAGGAAGCAAGATTGCTGCGGGTATTCGCCGACCTCAAGGCGGGATGAAATGTGGGGTCGTCATTCGATTCTTTCACGAGTCCCTTTTAGAGCACGGCTCTTAGGCGCTCGTTCCCGTGTTCTGCGGCGTCGCCGTCGCCGTCGGCGTAACCGCCGGAGGAGGGGTGGGTACGCAGGAGAAGGAGGGGAGGGTACGGAGGAGGAGGAAGGTATGGAGAATAAGAAACGGAGGGTGCGCAGGAGGATGGGAGGGTATGGAGGAGGAGGAGGGGAGGGTACAGAGAAGGAGGAGGGGGATAGGGAGGAGGAAGGTACGAAGGAGGAGAAGGACACAGAAGAGGAGGGTACGGAAGAGGAGCAGGGGAGGATACGGACGGGGAGGGTACAAAAGAGGAGGGTGAGATGGAAGAGGAGGAGGGTGCAGAAATCAAAATACCTCAAGAGCTGCACTCTAATTTCGCATTACACAGGTTTGTAAAAGTTTTTAATTTTGTTACTAAAATCCCCATGCGTATTTATATAACCTATATGCCAATATACAACATGAAAAACCCATACGAAGAAATATTTGAAAATTAAGGAGTTTTCTCAGTGGACTTTTCAATTTTAAGCAATTCCAGACAATATCTCGTGCCTTAGATACGTATATAGCCCATAGAACACAAAATATTGTCGGCTGCCGTGCGCTACATTTATTTAGCTGGGATATTGCTTTTGGCCAAATTATTAAAGACCAGGGGAAAAAATTGCCATGTATGAGCCAGTTGAGGCACAGTAGAAAACTATGGCCAAACATTGACATGACCTGCGTTTTCTTTATTGAGACTATGGCGTATAACATGTCCTACAATTTATTCATATGGCATTGTGGCATATGGGATCATATCAGTCATACAGTCTTTATTTCAATGGGGCTGTTACTGCTATTTTTTTATACTCGTCCCTTATGCTCATCTGAGACTTCATGAGGGGTACTAACAATGTCAACCCGAAACATACATCCGGTTCATTTCATAATATATGTATTCATGCTTGCACCAGATTCATATAACAATCAGTCAAACATCACATCACACAGCAATGCTAAATAATTACACCAACGTCGCACAATTGAATGGAAAAGACAATAAAAAAGTCAATTGTCAAATACAGAAGAAAAAAAAATGATGCGATCAGAAAACGAACCGGTTCATATTGTTCTGTTACTATATTTAGTTTATGTCTCTTCTTACCTTAGGATCGCCTATCAGCGCAATTCCCACAGAAAGCTTTCGTTTCTGTCCTCCGCTGAGTTTAACCGCCGGCACGTCCGCTTTGTCCGTAAGATCCAGTTCTCTGAGAATGTTCTCCACCTGCAATGATTCATTCCATTGAAGTGAGATTACCGAATTGATATCAATGGTTTCGTTACCGAATTCTACCAGGTCCGTAAGAGGAAATTAAACCCAGTTTTTGGGACTGAATAAATGAGGTATCGCAGAATGTGAGACCTTCATGTAAATTCGGTGCTAGCGGTAGTGATTAAATGCAAAAGAACCAAACATGACCATACCTAAATATTTTTTTTTTTATGAGCCGACGTTTAAATATGTTTAATATTCGTCAAACCAAGAAAAGACAGTGTGGGCGCGTAAGAATTTTATTTCAAAAGAAAAAAAATATCAGAATGAAAAGTAATATTGCTTTTTTACTTGCTAACAATTTTTTTTGCGTTTTTTTTTTTTTCAATTGAGGTTTGGCTTTTAGAACGTAGCAGGTTTTGCTAAGGTGCCTGGAATGCGTTTCCGACTGGTGTCTTTAGCGTCCTACACCGCCCATATATTGAATGTGATCTCGAAGTTTCCGTAAATAACGTCACAAAGAACGGAGTGTCATTCTGCCGTACGTCGCGATCCTGGCGGTGGTGCGTACAAGTTTTGGAGGCAAGGACGAGGGGACGCGAGTGTCGCTGTCGTCGTCGCGGCGTCCCAGCTCCTGTCTGCCGAAGCTTCAGAGGCTTGTCAAGCTGGAGAGCGATCTGAAGAAGAACAGGCGTCAGCCACATCTACCACCGCTGCTGGGACACCGCCAGAATCGCGGCCGGCGACAATGTGACACTTCTGTGACGTCATCAGGCGGAATCCGAGGGACCACGGTTTAGGACGCGGTCAACACGCCAGTAGTAGACGCGTTCCAAACACCAAAGTTTTGCAAGAAGGCCGTCCCACCTCTTCGTCGATGCAGCTCTTGGGGATGCCCTTCATCCTGGCGAAGAACGTGATGTGCTGCCTGGCCGTGAGCGCGTCGAAGAGGATGTCTTCCTGGAGGCAGACGCCCAGCATGGAGCGGATCTGGGCCACGTCCTCGGTGTCCTCGGTGCTCAGGCCGTAGATGCGCGCCGTGCCCTGGGACGGGCTCAGCGTGCCCACCAGCATGTTGAGCAGCGTGCTCTTGCCGGCGCCGTTGTGGCCCAACAGCGCCGCGATCTGTCCCTCGTGCATGCACAGGCTGATGCCGTCCACGGCCACCACGGGCTCTTGGCGCCACGAGTGGAACACCTTGCGCAGATCCTGTATTCTGCCGCGTTCGTGGACGTCAACCGCGGGAATGATAGAGGACCGAAAAGATGATTGTCTGCTTTATTTCGTGTACTATGCACAATGAAATAACACCACCTTCTGCGCACTTCCACCTTTGTCCACTGTGCTGTGAAACGTGTTGAGAGCATGCGCAGTAACTTTCTCACGTGAAATATTAGACGCCGTGCAATTCTCCACGGCCATGTGACTCGGCATTTTTCGTCTGGTTGTAAACGCTTGAGAGATGTATGTTTACTGCCTGGTGGGTAAGATGAACCGATGCATAATGGGCACAAAAAACTAAACCTGAGAAAAACGCCCAGGAGAGCTGGTTGTAAAAGCTTACGGATATTGCGAAGCTATAAATAGTATTCCATGCAGACTCCGAGCCAGTTTCATTGTACCAAAGCTCCTTCGTATGGTTCTTTTGAATGTCACATTGTCGCGAAATTGCGGATCATGCCAACGTTTGTGTTCATTGAACTCAGCATACCATCGTTCCCACGTCAAGCGAAGGAACCTATAGCTTTTAGGAAGTTCTTAGCTAACCACGATTCTAACAAGCGTATGACCACTCTGTGGCAAATGGAATGTAAACAAAGCAGACTGGTTTACGGGAAGCTCGATACACGTTCGAGTCACGGTGGAGTCCGCGAGACCTCAGAGTCCGGGAATCGAGTATACACTCGTGGTACTCCTGGTACAGCAGGTATCGGGTACAGTTTTGGTATACAGGGTGCTCGAGATCCGCTAGACGAACGATATAGCAACTCGGGCAATAAACATCTCTAGAGTAGATAAACTTTGGATCGGCACTGTGGGCGAGTTACGTAAAGTGCCCACTGAAAGTAAATGGACCAGCAGACTCTAGCGATGCCTACAGTAATTAAACAGTGGAGCCATATGGTTACTAGCCTACACAAAAGTAACTGCATATTTTCGTCAAGCAGAGCAAGTACAGTAAGTTACTCTAGCGAGACCAAGCGCTCCACTGGTCTATTTCGTTTTGAGACACGGCCTCTCTATATCATTCCCGCCCTCTTGAGAACGGTCTGCCGAACAGCTCTTTTTTGCCGGAGGAAACAAAAGTGCTTGCGGTGGCCGCAGTGAGTGATATTAAGCCTAATGGTTCCGTGTAGCAACCTTGTGACCGCAGTTTCACGCCTCACGCGGCGAGATTAGGAAACTCAGCTGGACCGCTGTTTCTATGTATTTCCTGGTGCAGCGGTAGGCCGTAGTGAAGCGGAAGTGATCAAGTGGCCGTGCCTGCAGAGCACTGTAAGTGGCCGTCTAAGGATAATGTTTAGCCTTCCGCAGTAAACAGCGAGACAACGAGATGACACACCTGATGGCTTCTCGCCCGAGAAGTTCAGCAGGGCGGTCTTCCACATCGGCGTTCGGAGCAATCTCGGACTTGGCGGATTTGTCGTGAACTTCCTTCGCCTTCCAAGGAGCAAAACACCTGAAGATGAACCAGGGGCTGCGACTCTGGCCGAACTCCCCTGCACAAGGGGAGATGCAAGTTGAGGTCAAGCTTCCACGGTGAACATTACAAGCAGATGTATTTCTATCTGTCAATCGAACCGCCATATGCATTTATCATATAGACCGCTGAACAATATAGGCGAAACATAAAACTAATAAATTCTTTAAAATTAAAAACAGCTTAAGGATGTGGGGTCCCGTTAGCCCTGATTTAGTTGACAACCGAACGCCGGCACCTGGAGACTGGTCATCGGTCGCCTCCGTAGCGAAGACGGTTCCTATGGTGCCTGAGGAACCGGATGGAGGACGGTTCGTATGGCGCCTCAGGAACCGGATGGAGGACATTGGCGTCGGCGGCGGTATACATCTGCGGACTAGCATCGCAGGAACGATCGGCATCCAGCATACACTGAAAGCGCACCTCTCCCAGACTTTCCTGATGACCTTTTTTGATCCCCGAAACTCCCCAGCAGAACGTAAGCGGAACAAGCCCTTTCTGCCGAGAGCTATGCGTTGACGTGTCACGTTTATTCGAAAACTAGAGACCAAGGAATCGGAAGATAACACTACAGATCACTGGCATCCTTTTTTTCGTTTCTTTTTTCGCTTGTTTGTTTGTTGCAGTATTTATACTCGATGTTAGCACATATAAACTTCAGTGTAAATCAGCGCTGTTGTTCGTGTAAGCTTTTCTTTCTGAACCTTGTCTGCGCTATTTGAAAATTTTAACCATAAAATGCCAACTGGCGCGAACGTCAACGTTAGTAATAAATGAACGAGGACATCATTGTCTTCGTCAATTTCTTATTTTTGTGTTCCGTCTAGGTGTCCTTTTAAACAAAAGCATTGAACCAACTACAGGAGATTTCCATTTTATGAGACACGCAGCTGAAGCTCAAGTTCAATATCCGTTTTCCAGGCACAGGCTATCTTTTAAGTGTGGCTCCTCATTCTTTTTTGCCTTTTTCGCCTTGCGAGGACACCGAGAATTCACCAAGTTTGGCGAATGAGCATCGTGTGGCGTGACTCAAAACGTGTCTGTGGTGCGTGCGATGGCGCCCAGTTCGCTTACGGCACAGGTGCATGGCAAACGGCCAACTCTCCTTGCTTAGACTGCGCCACACTGCGCCACACGTCGACGCGACGTACGCGAAATCTGAGTTGGCTTCCGCAACAGTGCAATTCAGCATTGACGCAGTTGACTGTAATGTAAATATCCAAGCTTCAACGGTGGACATTCCAGTTACAAGCGCCTGTAATGCGGCGTTTACAATGGGTATTAGAATTGCAACTGCTTGAGTAGTAATTCATACCAAGTCTCTGCGGCGGGTGCTGCCACGGTGGCCATTGCCAATACGATTGTTTGTAATTCATACCAAGGCTTTGATGATGAACATTTAGATACGACTGCACGTAATACAAGAAACTTGCATTGCATTGCATTTGCGAGCGAATACAATTCCTTGCAACAAATTACATTTTGTGCAATGGCTTTATGATTCAGTTTATTTTTTCGTCAATATGACATACTTATTGTGTACTTGTCAAACTTCCATCTTATTTTGGTATACCATAAAAGCTTGGTCTGCTGGGCAAGTTGGTAGTGGACATTCATATTAAATATAGCGCAAAAGAGACGGGACAAAAAGACGAAGAAGCACACAGGACAAACGCTAGCGTTTGTCCTGTGTGCTTCTTCGTCTTTTTGTCCCGTCTCTTTTGCGCTATATTTAATATGAATGGTATACCATTACCACAGAATATCGTCCCATTACGTTAGATATCTTCAACAAAAAAGGGGCCGCAGTTTTCAATTTAATATTTCAAAAAGTTGCAGCCGAGTTTGTATTCCAAGTTTGAGACGCCTTCTTTAACAATTCTTTATGACCACAAGGCATTGCTCCAACGTGCCAGAAAACATCATATGGTAGCATTGCTGGCACATGCGAATATTTCTAATTATTTTCCTTGCAATCATAAAATAAAAAAATCCACACCTAGGATTTGCTGTTAGAGAACAGCCGTTATATCCAAAACACCCCAGAGATGTCCTTTGTGTTTTAATTTTTTATTTCTTTATCGTGTATGAAAAATAATTACTAACTCTACTGGCGAAAAGATTGAACTATAGGGGGCGCTCCGACCCGTTTGTTGTCCCCACACCTCGGTGTTTACCCAAAACAAGGCTAGTGCACATGCCCACAGGCCTCGTGGGCATGTGTAGGTTACCTTCAAAAGAGCGCGCGGCACAGTGTAATGTAAAAATATCAACAATAAACGAAGTGACGCTAAGTGCCGGATTTCTCCCGAAAACAGTCGTCAAAGAATGCAAGCTTTACCCACTTCCGCTTTTGTGCTGAGTTCCGCACCGTGCATGCTGCATCGTTCATGCAGGCCGGAGTGGTAACAAAAGAGCGCCTCCTTCCCCTCACCAATGAACACGAACCCCAGCCGAACGCTGACGCCGCGTTCGGTTAAGTCAGCCGAGCGCCGAGTCATTGCATTTGTTGTCCCCATCCGTGTAGTTCTAAAGTTAACCGCTTTAAGCGCCACGTTCTGATATCCTCCCCAATAGCTTTAGGAGTTTTGCGACATCTGAAATCATGGAGCAAGTGAAAATTTACCTGGGATGATAGCGTCGAAATAGTAGGCGAGAAAGCCGTAGAGGAAAATGTCAAAGAGGAGCATCAGCATAGAGCTCCCCACGGAGAAGCCGTCTTCAAAGACATCCCGAAATCGCATAGAACCTATCACGTCCATCTGGCTGATCTGCAAGCGAAGAAAGAAAAACGGCGGTATTTTCCAAAAATAGCCTATCAGTAAGAAACTGTCAATGTAGAAGCTAATACAGGTGCAAAAATACATTCTAGAAATGTGCGCTCGAATCAGCGTTCACTTTTAAGAGGAACACAAATCAACGTCCTTCCTTCGTTGAAAGTCTTTTTATCAGTTTGGAAAATAAAAAATTAATAAAAAAGTGGACACGGTAGCATCGACACGAACATGCGGCTGAACCTGCTTTTGTTCTTCGTGCAGTGTGGGCTGTTGCTGCCAAGCTTCGTCATCAGCAGGACGGATTCTGCTTACTCGGTGGCCGTTCCAATCATCATACCGTCATCGTCCAATGCCGCTGCGGATCTACCCCTGGTGACCATCGCATCAGGTGCACCGATGTCATCGACGCTTGCAGAACCGGCTATAAAGGCGGCGGTGGAACAACGTCGCGCCAGTGGACACGGCAGCATCGACACGAACATGCGGTTAAACCCGCTTTTGTTCTTCGTGCAGGTTGGTTGTTCTGACTCCTCGTACAAAAGCGATGACCTCTTTTTGATGGTGCTGCCGTGTCCCAGTGTTTTTTTTTTTTTGTGTATTACTGATACCATTGCTTTACTCTCGCAAATGAGCGGTGATATTGAAACCAACCCTGGTCCCACAGGTGAAGAATTGTTAAATCTAGTTTTAGAAAACCAGGCGCAAATGACTAACGACTTAACAACCATCAAAGAAAATCAGAAACGGGCAGAAGAAAAATTCACGCGAATTCACCAAAAACTGGAAAAATTTGAGACCCAACTGACAGCCCTAGAGGCGACAACAAAACAATAATCTGATCGTCGAAACAGAGTCGCTACCGTCGAAAACACAATAGGTGACCTCTTGGATAAAATCTATGACCTAGAAAATAGAAGCCGTCGAAATAATCTCGTTATCTATGGTGTGTCCGAGAGGGTAGGTGAGACAGCGGAATTACATCAGGATACAGTAGTAAACAAGATTTTCGGTGAAACACTGGGCTTACCAGGTACAACCATAGAAAGAATTCATAGACTTGGACGCAAATCAGATGGCAAAACTAGACCAGTAATGGTTAAGTTCCTAAATTTTTCAGAGAAGTTGTCAGTTCTTAAAAACTGCCCTAAGCTGAAGAGATCGACAATTTCTGTTTCAGAAGATTTTTCGGTACGTGTTCGCAACATTCGCAAGCAATTGTGGGACAGTTCACAGGAAAATCGAAAAAAGGCGATAAAGTCAGTCTAATTTATAACAAGTTAAAAATAAATAACACACTCTTTGTCTGGGACAGTGATAAACAGGCACGTGTAGCACTAACTCATCCCAGACCGTCGCAACAGACATGACAATCCAGGCGGGAGCCCATGCATTCTATTTCATTCCTGAACTTGAACGCAAGAAGTCTTATGAATAAGGTAACTGATTTTGAACATGTTTTGCTGTCACGTGACCCACATATCACAGTCGTCACAGAAACGTGGCTACATACTGAAGTTACTGACTCGGAAATTATTCCCCCAGATTATAAAATAATACGGAAGGACAGAAATCCCCGAGGTGGGGGCGTGGCAATAGTTTTGAAAGAAAACTTGCGCTATAACCGAATGCCAGATATCAGTGGCGTTGAGACCTTGTGGATTCGTGTCAGCATTTTTTCCATATCTCTTATCATTGGTGCGTTTTTGCAGACCACCTAGCAGTGACAATGATTTTGTAGAAATAAACGACTATCTCTCCGAAAATGTACAAGCCAATTCTAGAATTATTTTTGCGGGGGATTTTAATCTGCCTAATATAGATTGGGAAAGCACATGGTCAGCGTGTCATATCTCGCAGGCTTTACTAGAGCTGGCCTTCTTTCATGATCTGAATCAAATCGTACCTGCTCCCACAAGATTATCCGAAGAAAAAGACTATATATACTCGATTTAATTTTCCTTACCCAGAATATATGTGAAAGAGTACAAAGTATTGAGGTGCTTGAGGGCATTTCAGATCATCAAATGGTATTGCTTACTTTTTCCACTAATAATACGCCCTGCGACGCACGAAGTCGCAAAGAATATCTCGACTTCTCCAAGGCCGATAATGTCGCTTTTATTGACGCTCTAGCGTTCTCCTTTACTGACTTCTTCAGTGCTTCCAATACACATGAAATCGATGTCAATTTCTTGTGGCAGTTTTTTTGAAAATATTGTTCTTGACTGCATTTCAAAGTTTGTGCCAAAAAAAGTGAAGTTTACGAATAAAACAAATCCGTGGATAAATAGGGAAATCATTCAAATGCGCCGTAGACTCTTTAGACTTCGCAAACGATCGAAAGACGTGAACCTTGTTGACGAATTAAACCACAGTCTTAAGGATACAATTAAAGAAGCCAAGCATCGAGTTTTTTAATGTAACAATGCCCTCCTTTCTTTCTCAAGTCCTCGCCTGAGATATTTGGCGCTTTATATCGCCCTCTAAACCAAAATAAAACGAGTTGAATATTGATAATGAAACCGTGGATGACCCCTATTATATTGCTGATGCTTTCAATAAATATTTAACGTCCGTTTTCAGTTTGTACAATGATCAGAGTCCGGTATTTGATGCAATTCGAGAAGACAGCGATTGCGCTAGGAACTGTTTGCCATATATAACAATTTCGGAGGAAGGTATTCTAAATTATATCTTGAATATTAACGTTAAAAAGGCAGTTGGGCCGGATGGAATTCCCAATGCTTTCCTGAAAAGGTATGCGGAATGGAGCGCTAACTACTTGACTGTAATATTCAGAAAGTCGCTAGAAACTTGCACTGTACCTTCAAAATGGAAAATAGCAAACGTGATTCCGATCTTAAAATCCGGTGACTCAGTGGTTGTTTCCAATTATCGACCTATTTCCTGGCTCAGTATTTGTAGTAAAATTTTGGAACATATTGTGTTTAAACACATATCGGCATATCTGGAGCAAAATAGTTTTTTTACTAAGGCTCAACATGGTTTCCGACAAAAAGTGTCTACCATCACCCAACTGACCGAAAGGGTGCACGAGTTCGCGTCGGTAATTAATACTCCAGGGCAAACTGACGTTGTATACTTGGACTTTTCAAAGCGTTCGACCGCGTTCCACATGAAAAGCTACTAACAAAATTGGCGGTTGTCTTAAATAATACTAATATTTTGAGGCGGCTAGAAAGTTAGTTGACTATGAGACAACAATTTGTACAATTTGATAGCGCGTGTTCCGGTACTGCACACGTTACGTCTGGTGTCCCACAAGGATCAGTTGTCGGGCCTTTATTGTTTTTAGTATTTGTTAATGATATTGTTTGTGAAATTCCAGTCAAGATAAGATTGTTTGCAGATGATTGTGTTGTTTTTAACGAAATCAAAAGTCTTGGAGACTGTGAAGTATTAAATTCCTCACTAGAAAGATTGGTGTGCCGATTGGTAAATGTCGTTGAATTTATCAAAGACTGTTTGTATGTCCATTACTCGTAAGAAAAGTCCTTTACTTTTTAATTATTATATTGGTAACTACAGCCTTCTTAGAGTTTGCTCATATAAGTATATGGGTTTGATTATAACATCTGACTTAAAGTGGAACACACATGTTAGTAACATATGTAGTAGACCAATGAGTAAGTTGGGTTTTCTTCGCAGGTATATGAAGCATGGCTCCCGTGAGACAAAGTTATTATTATATAAAACTCTGGTTAGGCCAATGTTAGAATATGCTAGTGTCATCTGGGATCCCCACACATCATGTTGTATTTCAGAGCTCGAGAGAATTCAGAGATTAGCGGTGCGTTTTGTGTACAATATGTATTCCTCTTATGTGTCCCCCACAAAACTTTGTGCTGAGGCGGGCCTGGAAACCCTACAGGAAAGAAGGAGCATGAATCGTCTAAAATTCCTCTACCTTATCGTTAACGACGAGCTTGGCATAGACAAAGATGATTACATTTTTGCCCCAGGTCTACTAGGCATTTTCACAGCAGAACAATAAAGCCATATAGTTATAAAAATGACGCATTTAAATACTCCTTCTTTCCTCGAACAATTATTGATTGGAATAGTTTGCCACCTGATGTAAATACTACTAACTTCTTAGATTTTTGTTCCAAGTTATTGCAGCAAGTGCAAACTGTGTGATATTATGTTTCATCCACTTCTGTAACAACCTCGAAAGAGGTTAACAGTATTAATAAAGAAAGAAAGAAAGCCGTTTACAAGTACGTCCCTGTAACGCCGAATTGGAGCGCAGCTCTTGAGGAGGAGGAGGGAAGGGTACTGAGGGGAGGGTATACCCCTCCTCCTTCCTCCTCCCCGTGATCCTGCCTGCTACTCCTGAACGAAAGGGCTCAAGTTCGAAGCCGGCCGAGGGACAAGAGATAAGAGTCTTTTAAAATCATTTTTCGGAGTAATGAAAATCCGGATTCATACCCCCTGCTCATCCTCCCTGTACCCCTCCTTTCTCCTCCTCTCCTCACGGGGGTCACGTGATCTTGGGGGAGGAGGGGGGAGCGGAGGGGGTCACGTGACCTGGGGGGTCACGTGACCTCACGGTTACGGCGACGGCGATGCCGCTCAACCCGGAAACGGGCGTGTAAGAGCTGATCTCTAAAAGGGTGAGTGTCATCGAGCGCTACAGCGGTCAGGTAATCCCAGAGTTCAAAATCCGTTCCCCCTTTTCGCCATGACAGCACGGCCCGGAATATGATATCGATCGGCCTGGTTGCTTGAACTTTCCTCTAGAGACATCGGTCATCCGTTTGCACGGTGTCAAATGACAACAAGAGCTGACAGGGCAAACAAGAGCCATCTATAGACGGATGCAAGTTAAGCATGCACCAAATGAACACCACTACCATCCATACCAGATACGGATCGGATCGCTCCGCGCCCGACCAGAAGTAGTAGCCACGTAAGGTTATGAGACCTTTGCGTGACGTGAGCCTCGGCAGCGGATTATTGGCGCATCGCGGGGAAGCAGTGGGTGACTGCAGAAAGGGTGTGGGAGAGCCTCCGACGTATTCTTAACATGCATCTGACTGTAGTACAGGCAACGCGATGCCTCGTTGAGTAGGACTAATAGCAATCCATCATTGTACTCCTAGGCTTACGAAGCTGTACTCTTTAACCGCGCGCAAATAAATCGCAGGACTGGCGTCGCTTTGGCCGAGTTTAAACAGCCAATGGCGAGCTCACCCGCTCAATGCCAAGGGTGAATGCTGCCGGCGAGAGCAGGGCGATCACGTAGAAGACCCAGGTCGAGACCCTGCCTCTGAGGAACACCGACAGCATGTAGAAGAAGCTGAAGAGCAGCATCATCAGTCCCACCACCGAGCCAGCCACCTGCGTGTCAGCGTGCAAGAGAGCAGGGAACGAGGCAGGAACATTAAGATAAGCAACTACAGACAAAAGGGAGCGCATAGCGTGGCGCTTCCTGAGTGCCTCGTTTTCCCTCCTCATGCCAATCAGATTGCCGCATTAGCTGAAAAGAACGCCAAAGAGCCAATCAGGAAGCGTGAACATGACGAGCGACGCGTTTCTCACTCCTTTTTGTCGTTCTCCACCTGCGACTATGGACGGAACGACCGGAATGGATTGAAAGAGCGAGTAGCACTGCCGTATAAGAACACAACTGCCGACTGGTGGAAACATATGCCCTGTGGGCTGCCCGTTCTCGGAATGACACGAGTGTGCACGTGAAGTCCCTGTGCGTTGAATTCAATTCAGTTCGGTTTATTTGTGTCCCTTCAGCATGCAGGCACAATTTTCAAATATGAAAAGCCAAACATAGCTTCCCGGCTAACCAATAAAGACCAAAAAAAATACTTACGAGGAAAATAAATGAAACAACGGAAGACTAAGACGCAAATAGAAGCTTTTATTCAGAAAAATAATCGAAGCGAGGAAAGAAATAAAGAAAAACATTGATGATGGAAGCATATTTGTAGAAAATATAAAGGGGTGATTATCTATGAATGCGATAGAATTTATTGTTGCAGAGACTGGCTGGTGTTCGGTTCCCCGGTAAATTTAGCGGGGAACCTGCATTTGTGCATAGGTCAAGTAACGTCAATACTTCGCTAAATTTAGCGGGGAACCCGATTCCGCTCAATTTAGCTGGGAATCTGAATTGGTGCACGGGTTACGTGAAGCCAATTTTCCGCTAAATGTAGCGGGGAACCTGATTTGGCTAAACTCTAGCAGGGAACCTGAATTGGTGCATAGGTCAGGTAAAGTCTATTTTCCGCTAAATTTAGCGGAACATTTACTACATGGGCGACAAACATGAGCAGAAATCTGCGATGAGTAGCTTCACAATGTTATCGCATTAAAAGAAAGGTAGTCGCCAGTGTTGCCGATTCGGGAGGGGGTTTGGGAATGGGTTCGGCAGTAGGGAGCTTTAGTAGACCGCTCCGATAACTCCGACAACGATACCCGATACACCGCCGGCAGTTTTGCGCACGCATCCTGCTGCCATCAGGTGTCGTTACCGAGGTCATCGTAACTATCTACTATACTCCGTTTCACCTTCCGTCCGAGCGCAGTGGACGCCACGAGCCATCCCAGCCGATCCAGCGCCGGGAGAAAGTCGCGTGACCTGCCGGTGGGGCGGGGCGACACAGGGAGCTCAAGGTCGCATGACACTCCCCCAACGCCGCATTGGCTGGGATGGCTCCTAGCGTCCGCTGAGCTCGGACGGAAGATGAAACGGAGTATAGAGCACCATTCTATCTACCGAAAACCGATTGGCGCACACTGCCGTTCGCTGGCCACAAGCACTCACCTTGGACTTGCTGAAAAAAGGCGTTGCCATGAAGCTGAACATGACGACCGTGAAGCCGTAGAGGAGCGATATGACGAACACGAGGACAATGTCCGTGTTTGGAAGAATGTGAAGCACGTACACCATCCCCGTCATGATCAAGCAGACGTTCACTACCACCACGGCTTCGACCAGGAACCACGCGGTCCTGCAAGGATACGGGCCACCAGGGCACATGGTACAATAAAGGCTGATATCGATCAAATAGTATTTACTCACGAAATAAGCAAATGCACTACTCAGTAAAGGATTTAACTTAGCTCGTTGTACTCAAATAATCGGAACTCCCAACTTAAATTAGAAGGACGCGACGCTCCTCACAATAGGCAATCTCATTAGTATACATAGCGATAATGAGATGCGTTCCGTTGCTTCAGCTATCGGTGACTGTAAAAAGAGTGGCGGCATCCTGAGAAGCAAACGCTTATCCAGAATTCGGAAGCAGGGAGGTGTCCGTAACTCCAGTGGGGATCCTGGGGCGTGCCTGTGCCTTGGGTTTGTATATTTTTCGGAAAAAGTTAGGGGGGGGGGGGGGGGGGGGCAGACTTAACCGAGGGAATGTTTGGGAAGTGTTTGAGGCAATCTACAGACGTGGTCAGGTTACGCACCAGTAGGCTGAGGGCATCATGCCCATCATGAGCATGCCCTCCTTGATCTTGCGCTCCTTCTCGAGTACGATGTTGACGCAGAGCACGGACACGAAGGGCGAGAAGGCCAGCGTCAGGTAGAGGGGCACCAGAGACCTCCACGTGGTGCCCGGGTCCACGTACGGAGGCTTGGGCAAGAGCCGCACCACTAGCTCCGGCAGCCGCGCGTCTGCCTTGGTCCAGAGCTGCGGGCCCACGCAGTGATAGAGAACTCAATGCGAACTTTTATTTTAAAGTATGAAATGCATTTTTTTTTAAATACTCCGGAGTATTTTTCTTTTTTATGGATTCCGATTCGATTAATAATTACTGTAAACGACTTACTTTTCGCGGGCTCAATATTTCGGGATTTAGGCAAAAGCTGAAGTTTTAGAATATTGCGCGGGTTCTAATTTTCGCGACGCGGTGGGATCTCAATATAGAATTCAATGTGTTTACATTTTGCCGGAATTGTTCGTGGGACCAATTTTTCACGAATTATAGGCGATTCGCGAAATTCGCGAAATTTTGGTCATCGCGAAAATTAAATCGTTCACAATATCTGAACACGTCAACATATATCGATGAACTTAGAAACCGAAGTATTAAGCCAAAGTGTTGTTGTTTTTGGCGGGGTCGTTAAATTGGAATTTTTAATTTTGATACTCACTTTTTTTCGGAGAGGATTACGGCAGGGTATGCAGAAAAGATTTTGTGTTCGGGTAGTTAAACAAATCGCCGGAGTACCCCCTTAGCGAAACCCCCTGCTCCCATAGATCTGTCCGCCTGCCCGTCCGTCCATTCTTTCATTCATTAATGACGTGCAGGCATACACCCCAAAACAGACGTGCGTTAGTGGGGCGCGGCGCAAACCTTGATGAAGCAGAAGTCGATCGCAGCTTGGAGGGTGCTGAAGCCGCTGGAATAATAGGAGGCTGCCGGGCACATCACGGAGTCGGACGAAAAGATGAAGTGCTTCACTCTGCACATCTCTGTGGGAAGAAAGCGGAGGTCTCGGATACGCGCTGTGCTAATCTCAAGCGCATTTCTAGCGTTTGCTGCGCTTATTTAGATGAAACACACGTCTGTTCGAGGGTTTTGGTGAATTTCCAAGATCGAAAGCATAAGAAATACAATGCTTAAAATTGACATATTTTTCGATCGCAATATTTACCTTTTCTGAGTGTTGTCACACTGCAGCGATCTGGTTTCCTTTTAGTTTTCTCTTTCTTTCCTTTTATTTAGATGGATTTGAAGCACCTACATTTCTTTCACAACTAAGGAGCAAAAGCCTATAGGCTGTTAAACTACTTTGTTAGCCGCACATAATATGAAGCCTGTCTTGGCATGACGAATAAGGGTGAAGTTTCCGACACTCCTCATTCATTTATGACTATAAATAATATATACAAGCTTATGAAATGTGGAGGTACAAAAAGTGAATACAATTTTATATCATAAATGAAAAAGCAACGACTGAACGATTTAAATAAGCAGAAGCTTAAGGAAGGTCTTCATGGAGAGGATTATTGAAATAAACGAGGATGAATGGAGCTCACACGAAATTGTTATAACATCAAGTTCTCGTATCATAAAAAAGCAAGTATTCTCTACACACTTTTGAAGTGTCCCAAGAGCAAATTTTCTAAATAAAATAGCGGGTATCGGATTAGTTCCATTATGGGTAAACCACGTTACCTATTCCAACTCGCTTCACGTCAGGCGAAGGCACATGCCGCAGGGGAAAACGGATTTGGTAGGAACCAGACTTCTCGAGGTCATCCGAAAAGACGATGCCAACTGCCGAGTGCGTAACATTAAACCGGTACGCCTGCGAGAAAGAAACAACAACAAATGAACAAACATAAACACACATTATATCCACAGGATGTACCGTAGGTCTTGAACTTCTGATCACAAACGATCGAAATGACCAGAGTTTCGAAGGTGATTCACTTCCCACGCCCCATCGCATCAGGTCAGCATGGGCACTCTTCAGCCTCGTGAAATGTTTCGGGACTTAAGCACTATGTACAATACGACCCCACAAACATCACCAGCGCAGCTAGCGCTACTGCTGCCACAGGTTTTGACTGTTCTTTTGTTAATAAACTAGGTACTGCCCTAAACAAAATCACGATATGATTTCCCAAAGCGAATCCTTTACTGTTCAGTGATTTCAACTTCCCTGAAATCAACTGGCAGTTACTCACATCTACGTCACGTGATTCCAAGCACTTTCTTGACGTTTGCATGTTGTTCAATCTTAGTCAAATGATCGACAAGCTTACCCGTGATGATAATATCCTTGATTTAGTCCTTGTATCATCGCCCGATCTTGTGCAATCTCCTATTTACATGCCTGGTCTTAGCGACCATAGAATAATGAATATATTGATCACACTGCCTGTTCTAGTTAAATCGCCCATGTCTAAGGTCATACGCGATTTTAGTAAAGCTGATTACGCTGGTATTAATGCTAAGCTCACCATCTTTTTTGACGTCTTTCTATCTTCTTTTTCGTCGCGGTCCGTAGAGGACAATTGGTTGTTATTTAAGCAAAAGGTTACTGACCTGATCAACTTACATGTTCCCTTGCTACGGATTCGTGGAGATGTTGGGCAACCATGGTACAATAAAAAGATGAAATCAATTGATAACAAAAAGAAGCGTCTTTTTCCAAAAGCGAAGGCTAGTGGTTCTCCTTCTGTATGGAATAAGTATTTTCAGTGCCTAAAAGAGTACACCGCGTTAATTAAAACTTTCAAGAAGAAGTATTTCATCAGGACTTGCCCAACATTCTTCTAACCAACCCTACTAAATTTTGAAAAACGATTACACCCAATCCTAGTATGCAGTCCATTGAGCTAGTTGACAAGGGCGGTGTCGTTGTGCCCGGCGAACTTGCCCCGTCAGTAATGAATGATTACTTTTCTTCCATCTTCACAACGGAGCCACCAGAAAGTATTCCCTCCCTCCCTCTACTTCCGTTTTCCCAAATGCCTCCGATCACTGTCACTGCATCTGGAAGTTCTAATCTTATAGATAAACTGAAGGTACCTTCTGCCCCGGGACCTGATACAATTTGCTCAAAAATACTGAAGAACACGAGAGACATCTTCTGTTTATTTCTTCAGCTAATTTTTAACCAGTCATTGTCAGACGGCTGCGTTCCAACGGTCTGGAAGATTGGCCGGGTCATTCCTGTCTTCAAAAGCGGTGATCAATCCCTTCCTGATAACTATCGTCCCATATCGCTCACATGCATTGCATCGAAGCTTGTAGAGCATATCATCCTCTCTAACGTTATGAATCACCTAACCTGTAATAACTTTTTTTCTCCAAAACCAGCATGGTTTTCGCCAGGGTTATTCCTGCGACACCCAACTTTTTTAATTTTCTCACGACCTGCACACTAACCTTGACTCGCTCTCTCAAACGGATGCCATCTTCATAGACTTTTTCAAAGCTTTCGATCGGGTTCCTCACCTACGCCTACTCGCAAAACTCGCGACTCAATATTGATCCTTTAATCGTATCTTGGATTCGCAGCTTTCGCTCATCCAGAGTCCAATATACAGTCGTCAACACTTTAGAATCAAACCTTACCGATGTTTTGTCTGGGGTCCCACAAGGCAGTGTTCTAGGTCCGCTTCTTTTCTTGATCTTTATTAACGACCTTCCAAATTCTATCACCTCTAACATACGTTTATTTGCTGATGATTGTGTCATTTATCGCCAAATAAATTGCTCCTCCGATCACCTTCTTCTTCAGAAAGACCTCGATAATTTAACCAAATGGTGTGATCAATGGCTCGTGTTACTAAACCACTCTAAATGTAAGTTTGTCTGTTTTTCTCGAAAACATTCCCCATCTCTTTTCAAATATTCTCTATACTTCGTTTCAGCTTCGGTCCGAGCGCGGCCGATGTTATGAGCCGAAGGACCAAACAGCGAAAGAGGCACAACGTCATGGCGTGCACTCTGCAGTTGATAGGACCAGCCGGTATTCGCTGTCTCTCTGTGCGTGGTCCTCCGCCGGCTAGTTCTATCAAGCGCAGAGATCACGCCATGACGTGCCGCTTTTTGCGATGTTTGATTGGCCCTTCGGCTCATAACATCGGCCGCGCTCGGACCGAAGCTGAAACGAAGTATAGGCTCATCAACAATTGAGTGTGTTCAATCGTACAAATACCTTGGCGTTTATTTTTCTTCCCGTATGTCTTGGACCCTCCACATTGACTCCATACATGCCGAAGCTTCCAGAACGCTTGGTTACATTCGACGTTGTCTGCACTCAGCCCCTCCAGCTTTGCACCAGCTGGCCTACGAAACTTTTGTGCGTCCGAAGATTGAGTATGCTGCTGCCATTTGGTCCCCACTCCAGATTTACCTCACTAACACCTTAGAATCTATTCAGAATCGTGCTGCCCGATTCATTCTTTCTAATTATGAACGCACTGCCAGTGTGTCGGCCATGAAGGCCCTTCCTTATGCCTCCCCATTCTCATTTCTCGCCGAAGAATATCACGCATCTGTCTTTTCCAGAAGATTTTTTCTTACCACCCTCTACTCAGACAGTCTCTACTGTTAGAACCGCATCGTTCATCCCGACGAATTTTTAACTCCCTTAGTGTACGTCGCACCCATGGTTCCACTGTCACCTTTAACAGCTCATTTATTCCCCTTGCCATTATAGAGTGGAACAATCTACCGGACCATGTAGTGCTCATCAGTGACCCCGACCTCTTCAGACATGCTCTATCGTCTGTATTTAATATGTAATCAGTGCGATGCTCCTACCTATGACTAGTGCTCAGCCACATCTTGTTTCTATGTTTTGTTTTTTTGTTTTTATTGTATAAAAGTTCTACTTGTGTGCTTCTTTGTATTCCCCCCCCCCCCTTATGTAATGCCCCTGGCGGGGCCTTTAAGGGATAATAAATGAAATGAAATGAAATATGTTGCCAACTTTGTAACGGCGGACATAAGTCGAGCGTTTGCTGACACCTCTGCAGCCTCCGCAAGCAAGTTCTCTCGATATACAGTCATGTCGCGTTCATATAAACCTCGCTAATAGACACCTTTTTTTTTTTTTTTTTTTTTGCAAAACGAATTATAGTATATTTTGGTTCCGTTTTGGGCAGAAAAATGCATTATAATTATATATGCATTTTTCTCTCGTTAATACGAACAACTCAGAATTTGATCGTACTCTGAGGGAAACGGAAGTTTCCTATATTGACGAAACACGAGAGAACCTTCATAAACAAGCACACGTTGGGCAGTCATTCGGATTAATTCACTGCCAAGATGCCTGAAGCTGAAAATAAAGTATTGTCAGCTTACAGGTGAACGGAGTGCACCGACACTCTTTATCTTAAATATATTTTTTTTTTACAAGGACTACCATGATACGGGCGTATGATAAATGAAAAGTAGTGTTGCAGAATGTTTTAAAAATAGATCAAAATTGTTTCTCTTGTTTTCTGGATAAGTGTACGGAAAAAGAAACGTGAAAGTAATTTGTAACGTAGCGGGTAAAGTAACACGTTACTTTTCACCGAAAGTAACTTGTAACGGTAATCCATTACATTGGAAGCTCGGTAATTTGTAATGGACCTTTTCCAAATACCGACGGCACCAGGCGGTGGCTGCACGGACTAAAAATCGAGGAAGTGACCTACCTGCGCTACCAATCGATAGTGGGAGCTACGCTACCACTTGCTCCGCACTCTGAGCTGCGTCGCGTGCCCAACGCGACTTTAAAGAGGGAAATCCGTAGCGTCCACCCAAACGTCGTGTTTTTCTTTCCGTCCACTTTCTTTTTCTGTGTAACACAATTATATATATGCTGCAATTACGTGTTCTACTCGTCGATCTACAGCCTCATTCCAAATTTCCTCGATTTTTCGTTCCGACTTCCACCGCTTGGCATCGGGCGCTCGCGCGTGCGCAGAACGCTTCTCGGAAAAGGTCCATTGTAATCCATTACATCTTTCAAGTAACCAGCATACGTCTGGCTGAAACACTCGATCGGGCCTATTTCTGCGGTATGCGGTTCCCAAAAGCTATTCTATCTCTCCATACGTCAAATAGTCAGAAGCGTGAAACATCAACAACGCCTCCCGTCCTAAATTCGGGTCTCAGCTTCTCCAAACACTGGAGCAGGTAGGCCATAGAAGCGAGGAAGTTCGGTTTGAACCCGTATTGGCCGCAATGCGGCGAGCAAGTTCGTCTGCTTTTTTTTTTTTTTTTTGCGGGGGCTGTGGTGACGTCACAACAGCAAGCTCTGATTGGTTCTGATTGAAGGACAGCGGGTAGACCTCAAGGCAGCTTGCGTTGAAATCTACCACTATCCTTCGATCAGAGCCAATCAAAGCTCGGCATCTTTCTGACGTCAACACAACTCCTGCGCAATGAGCAGACGACTTGCCCTCCGCTTAAGGAAGCGAGAGGAGAGCGTTGCTTGGCCGCACCTGCTCCATGTCGCTCGAGTTGTTGTAGAGGGAGAAGTTGAAGCCGCTGCTGTACGTGTTGCTGTTGAGGAACTCGACGACCTGGCGCATGAAGGCGCCCACCTGGGCCGTGGCCGGAGCCGCCATCAGCTCGGTCGTGATCTGGGACAGGTGCGAGGGCGTCACGAGCAGCACGTGGCCCAGAGGTCCGCGGTGCGCGGGCTTGGAGCTCGGCTTGAGGCCGCTGCGGATGCTCATGAGCGAGGCCACCATCAACAGCGGCATTATCACCTCCTGGGAAGGGCACCAAGCGCGGAACGCGTTAGGCACAAAGAAGTCCGCGGCTCTTCGCCACAGTGATTCGAACAAGTGACACCAATTGCCGTCGTCTGCGCGTAGTAACTAACACTTGTACGGATACCCACCCTTCATTCGCTCGATCGCACACAATGCAGCCTTGTGACCGATCAAACACACGGTGCCCCTCCCCCCCCCCCCCAAAAAAAAAAAAGAAAACAAGAAAAAAAGAAAAGAAAACACATGACTGGATTGTTTTTATTGCATGTATAACCTACGCATCGCCCGAACGCTCATTCTCCGCTCAAATTTAGTGCCAACGGCCATAACTGTTCAAGAGCCAAGTGTTATTTCATTTAAAAGTTAGAAGTGATTTTCTGAAAATAATAGTTAGAAAATGGGGCCCGTTTTCGTCCGTTTTCAATAACTGGCGGCCTTAAGGTACTCGAGAGCTTTGTGGGCCGCCATTTTCTCACTGAAAATTAAAAAAAAAAAAAAAAAATCACATAACTTTTGAATAAGATAACGCTTAGTTCTGAAACTTTGGCATCTCGTTTGGACCACTAAGCTCTACATTTGAGCACAGAATCGCAGTTTGGAGAATTGTAGTCCATTTTTACGCTAAATAAAAACGTATAAGATTTTTTTTTTCTTTTTGGAGGAGGGGGCATTTAGGAAAGGGAACACACCGGACATGTGAGGCAACGTCCCTGCCTGGGACGAAATTGGGGCAAGTACCGTTACGAGTGGTGGTTTGCTCGACAATTGATAATACACGCAAATCGAGTTAGGCGGTGAGAAATGTGCAGTGGCGTTCTCCGCCAACCGTGGAAGTGGAAGACATTGCCGCCCGTGCAAGAGCCAAGTACACGGGCTTTGCCAGGCGACACGGGGCGGTGCATAATAAAACTGAATTTCCTGCCTGGCACAAAGCTGACGCCAGGTATGTAGCTGGGAAAACCCTATACGAATATCGTTGTACAAAAATGTTGCTATTCGAAGAATATTTTCTACTCCAACTATAACGGTACTTCAAAAAACAAGTTCGCTTCTCCGTAGCTCAGAGCAATGAGAGACAAACAAACACAGAAGAACTCTCTGACTCGTTTAGCCAGGGATAGCTCGCCCACAGAAAGGCCATGACCGCGATGACGTTGCACTTTTGGCACTACTTCCATGGCCCCGCTGTTACGCAACGTCGAATTCGCTCGGACTTACGCTGAAGGGGAGACGGAGATCAAGACGCCTGCTTCATGCGACGGAGTTACGTTGACGTCAGAAAGCTGCCGAGCTCTGATTGGTTCTGATTGAAGGATAGTGGGTGGACCTCAAAGCAAGCTGCCTTGAGGTCTACCCACTATCCTTCCATCAAAGCGAATCAGAGCTCGGCGTTGTGACGTCACCACAACCTCCGCAAAAGAAGCAGACGAACTTGCGCTCAGCATAGCTGGTGAGTCGTCATAATTACGAGAATCAGAGACTGGTTCACGAATACAAGAATACAATCGGAAACACTGTGAGCGTTTGTCTGTGGGGTCCCCTTCTGTAAGTTCCTCGCCTTATGTATTAACGCGATAGTCCTGGAGTTTTGCAAATTTTCGTATTTCGAGCCTTCGTGGGCTCTTCCGGAGGCCACACTAATCAAGCATGCTGCAGCGGCAGCTAGCGGCAGCGATCCAGCGCTTAAACGGCGCCGAGCTCACGGGACAGGCTCCAAGGGACACGAGGTGCCTGGACCACGAGCTGCACGAACTCTGAGATTCGGTGAAGGGCCCCTCGATGAACTACTCAAAAGGACAGTGTAAATGTTGTAAATAAATATGTAGAGTGTGATTTACCGAGCCTCCACTCCTACGTACTGGTGACCTTGGACCGAGCTACCCCCGACCACGCCCAGCTACGCTGCCCTGGAGCCCTGGTTCTTTGGGTGAGTCCAGTTTTGTGCCACCCTCATGAGCCTCGAAGACAATGGCGCCTCTCCCGGGGCCCTAACGACACTGGGGCGACGACTCTGAACATCAAGTTCCCGGAGTTCTGGTCGTCCGATTCCAAGCTGATGTTCCTGACCGCGGAATCAATTTTCCGTAAGAGCAGAATCATCTCATCATTGACCAAATTTGACTACGTTGTCGCGGCCCTCCCGCAGTCAACCGCATCCGTGGTTCGCGACATTCTGCGTTCTCCATCCGCAGATCGGCCCAACGAGACTCTACGGAAAAAACTGATTCGTCGCACTACAAAGTCCGAGCAACGGCGTCTTCAGCAGCTATTGACTGCCGAGGATCTGGGCGACCGCAAACCTACATAATTATTGCGACGCGTGGAGCACCTCCTTGGGGACAAAGCCATGACGATGGACACATCAATATTCAAAGAATTTTTTTCCAACGCCTACCAAGCCAAGTCCGGAGGATTTTGAGCACATCTTCACATCGACTCAGTCTCCACGCTTGCTTGTTGGCCGACCAAGTCACGGACGTAGGCTCCCCTGCCATCTTAGCGGTGCGTAAAACGACATCCTCAACGCCGTGCACTACTGTGACCGACATCGGATCCCAGCTTGCTCAACTCCTCAGCTTCAACGATCACATAGAGGCCAAAATGAGCGAGCTCAGTCGTAAGATTCGTAACCTCCAATCACGAACTTTCTGATCCTTCACCGTCAATCCACTAGCTAACGCTGCCCGGCGTCACAGTGAATGAACAGCTGGGTCCCCCCTTCCAGGAGTATGCTGGTACCACCAGAGATACGGATCCCAAGCCAGAGCATGCCGCCCACCGTGTAACTACTCGGAAAACGACGTGGGCACCCGCTGAAGGCCGCCGGCGTCGAAAGCCCAACTTCAGGCCGGCTTTTCTACGTCACGAAACGCAACACAAAGGTTCGCTTCCTGGTAGATACTGGGGCTGAGGTAAGCGTGGTACCTCCTACGCTGGAGGACCGCCGGTGCGGCCAAAAGTCATCACCGCTCCAGGCTGTTAATGGATCCCCGATCAAAGCGTACGGCGAAAGGTGCCTGACGTTAAACATCGGACTCCGTCGGACATTCCGCTGGATTTTTATCATCGCGGATGTTCGGCAGGCGATCATAGGAGCAGATGTTCTGCGGCGATTCGCACTGACCGTGGACCTGGGGAGAAACCAACTTCTTGACACCGAGACGCAGTTAAGTGTCCAATTTATCGTGTCAAAGTCCCCTCCTGTTAAACTTGCTCTTCCACGAACAGAAACAACCTCTCCTTGGCAAAACATCGCCGACGAAATTCCTGCTGTGTTTCGCCCACCGGCTCCCGATCAAGCCATCCGACACAGTGTCACCCATCACATCGTGACGAAAGGGGCCCCGGTTTTCGCCAGACAACGTCGACTCGCTCCCGACCACCTTCAGATAGCCAGATAGCCAAACTTGGTTTTATCAGGCCATCTTCGAGCCCCGGGTCTTGGGCACTTCACATGGCCCGAAGACAACCGGGGACTGGCGCCCCTGTGGGGACTACCGGTCATTAAACAAGTGTACTCTGCTCGACCGTTACCCCATCCCTCATATTCAGGACTTCGGTGGCATCCTACAGGGCGCGAAGGTTTTCAGAAAGGTGGACCTCATGAAGGCATCCTACCAGATCCCCATAGAACCGGCAGACATCCCCAAGACGGCTGTCATCACACCGTTTGGATTGTTCGAGTTCTTGCGAATGCCCTTTGGACTCCGCAACCGCTGCACAAACCTTTCAACGATTCGTCGACACAGTCCTCCGAGGTTTGTCATTCACCTTCGCGTATATCGACGATATCCTTGTATTCAGCAACACTCCGGAAGAGCACGCCGAAAATACACGACAACTCTTCTCGCGCTTCCAAGAATACGGACTTGTCGTCAATCTGACCAAGTGTGTATTCGGCGTCAACGAACTTGAATTTCTTGGCCACCACGTTGATAGCCGCAGAATTCAGCCGTTACCCGCCAAATTCGCAGTCATCCGAAGCTTTCCACAATCCCCGACGGCGAAGAAACTTCGGGAATTTCTCGGACTCGTCAATTTTTATCGACGTTTTATACCCCAAGTCTGCGAGCCCTTCTACGACCTACTGCCGGCCACCAAAGTAAAGGCAGCGCCACTCCATTGGACGCCAACCGCCAATCAAGCTTTCGAGAGAGTGAAAAAACAAAAACAAATTACACCATCTTCCCGAGGGGAACCATGGGGTAATACGGAGCATCGTTCCATCACACTTCATCGGAAGAACGGAGTGAAGTGGAGTCAACAGCGGGTGAACTGAACGCGCGCAGAAACTGGTTTGCTCAATTTATGTTTATACAACCTTGATGGAGATGCGCCTCAACGGGCAATCGGTCTCTTAGCTGTAGATGAGAAATTTAGCCAGTGCAGTCCAACTGCTAACCTGGGGTTTTTAACGTGCATCACGCAGTAGTGATCACACGAACGCGTGCCGGTACGAAACTCATCCAGATCGAAAACGGGCAGGGGCGGCGGGGATCGAACCCAGGAGGTTCCCAGCGCAAGCTTTCGCTCCCCGCTTCGAGCTGAGACGCGTTAGCCCCACTCGGCCACTTCCTCCCCCGAACGCGCGAGGAGGAGAGTTGCGCATGCGCGCTCAGTGTGAGTAGAAGCGAACGCACGCGAAGTGCACGCAGCTGGTAGAGAGAGAGAGCGGAGAGGGTAACGCGCAGCTGTTGGAGAGAGGGAAGGAGGAGAGTTGCGCATGCGTAGTGTGAGTGCGGACTACGACGCCGCGGGACATAGACCCGAGCAAGAGATGCTCCGCATCTAAAATATCATTGCCAACGGTCACCCTTCTCAGCCACCCCAAAAGCGACGTACCGCTCTCCATCGTGGTCGACGCCTCGGATGGAGCTGTTGGAGCGGTTTTACAACAAAACGGAAACAAATGGTAACCACTTCCCTTCTTTTCGAAGAAGCTGACTCCGACAAAACGGCGATATACCACCTTTGGACGTGAGCTGCTGCAATATACC